TATATCTTCTCGAAAGCTCTCCGTGGCCATTTCATTTGTCTCCAAGAATCGAATAGATTACACGGCAAAAAGTACTGAATAGAAGATCGGCGAGCAAACGGTTAAAATAAATCATACGTATACTTCCCACATGAATGGACCGAAGGATGAATTAATCTCATTAAAAAATACGTAGGCCTGGGCTAAGAAACAGAGATAAATATCTGCTGGCCTTAAACGGTTTTTGTTTAGAGAAAATATTGTATGTACGATTAGATAGCTGGGAAATTGCCTGGTTCATCGCCCGGTGTTTAAATAACATTTTTTTCAATTCGGTTTGCAAATAAGTTCAAGACTAAATCGGCTGTGTAGGTTCGTTTGGCTTTAAATTTATTAAGTACTATTGAACTTTCTAAAATATAATAATAATTTAAAATGCATACTTCTGTTAACCATATTCCAGCCATAAATAATAATAATCATTTAATTATTTAACGACTTTAATTTAAACTTAAGGTGATCAGAGTAATTTGAACTATTTATTTAATTAGTTTTAAGAAATCAATAATTTTAAAGCAATTTTTATTTAGTGATTATTACGTTCAAAATGCACACATAATCTACACATATCTCTGTTTACCTGCTGGTACATCATACAAACATGATGGTTCTATTGTCATTATCATTAGATAGAAAATGGAAAAAACAAATTCAAGAAATAGTTTGATGAATGTTTTACTTTTGCTATAGATATATTTGTATTAAAATAAGTTGTCAATGATCCTAACGGTTATTTTAACCTTGTTTTATATATTTTTTATCTGTCAACAATTTTCTTATCGTGGTGATCCTTATCTTTAACTGAGTATCTTGCCAATTTGTTATGTTAAAGTGTGAATTGTATTATTTAATAAGGGTTTTATTGGTAAGTCAGTATGTTTGATAAACCTGTGGTTTGGTCATTTCATATCATCTTAACCTTTCTACGTCTCTCTCCCCCCCTCTCTCTCTGCCATTGAATGTAAGGTTGGTCAGTATTTGCCTAAATTTTGCAACCCTAAATAAAACCACCTCACGTATTCATTCATTCTCTCTTCCACTCTCTCTATCCCTCTTTCTTTATTCTCTGCTTCACTTTCTCTCTTTCCCTTTCTCTCTCTCTCTCTCTCTCTCTCTCTCTCTCTCTCTCTCTTTCTATATTTCTCTGTTTCACTTTCTATCTCTCTTCCTTCTCTCTCTCCTTCTCTCTTTCTATATTTCTCTGTTTGTTTATTTCTCTGTTTGTTTATTTCTCTGTTTCACTTTCTATCTCTCTTCCTTCTCTCTTTCTCTCTCTCCCTCTCTACTATATATCTGTCAATCTCTCTCAACTGTCTTTCTCCTGGAACCCTTCTATCTGCTTTATAACTCCCTTTTTTATCTATCTACTATCTATCAATCTCTCTCACCTGTCTTTCTCCTGGAACCCTTCTATCTATTTTGCAACTCCCTTTTTTATCTCTCTCTGGCTCTCAGAATTTAAGTCGTCGGTGGTTGTAAGAGTGGTCAATTCAGACCAAATTCTGCTACTGTAAATAAAACAATATTCATTCAGTCATACACACAAACAAACAAAGACACCCACCCACAAACTATCACTCTGTCTTACCTATTTCCTGTAACCACTTTTCCTTTTTTCTCCTCCCTTTTATCACTCTCTCTCTCTCTCTCTCTCTCTCTCTCTCTCTCTTGTTTCCTGTAACCGCTCTTCTTTGATTAACCTCTCCATTTTCTCTCTTTTTTTTCATTTTGTGTAAGAGTCAGTACATTTGACCCAATTCTGTGGCTCTAAATAAAATCGCATGCATCAACCATCTTTTAGAGCTTAAATTCCTTTTCTTCTGGATATTTGGTATAAAACGAAATTTAGTTTTTAATCTATGTTATGTAATAAAAATTTAGTTTTGAAAGGTTTCTCTTTACATTTTTGTTCTATTATGTTTTCTTTTCTGGTATATTAAATTGTGTATTTCCAATTGTAAGTCCATTCTTTGCATTCCTACTTCCCAAAAATTCTTGATACTATTGTTTGCCATTATTTATCACGTGATTTTAATTCTGACATTATTCCAGATCAGCAAGGCTTCATTTCCGGGGGTTCTGTTACCGGCAACCTACTTTGCTACCAAAATTATATTTTATCCACTTTACACATTGGCTTTCAGGTTTAAACAGACTTTTAAGCACCAAGCATTATTTAGCAATTTGTTAAATTGGCACAGTCTTATATCAAGGGTAGAACACGGGTAGTAAAACTGAAATCATTTAAATCAAAACAAATTTCAGTTATCAAGATGTTATTAATGGAAAATTGGAAGAAGGATTAACAATTGTTCAATTGGCTACAACTAAAAAGACTGACGAATCGACACCTGATGGTGTCTTTTCGAATCAATTTCACAAAGACTGACCAGACTCGATGCTTCAAGTACATACTTCAAAAGTTCAAAATGAAAAAAGAAATATTGAAAATAGTAATGGAACGCAAATGGGGTCCTAAACAGAAAACACAAATTGGAAGCTTCTTTTACTTTCCTATGATGTGGATATTGGTCTGATCTTAGAAACACCTAGTCACCAAGGGTTGATCTGACCGCTGTTGCAACCCCGAAAAAAATTACTATTTCTTGAAAAAATCAGTGAGAGAAAGGGTTGCTGGTGGCGACTTTAATGCTAAGCATTTTGACTGTGGGTCAAGATTAAATACTAAAAAAGGAAAAGAAGTACGAAAAGCGATCGATATGATGGGATGCAACTATCATTCTGCACCTAAGCAAATTTATTGGCCAACAGATAATAATAAAATACCTGATCTGTTAATTTTTTTAATCAAAAAACTCTCACCTAATTTCATTAATGATGACCAAAATTTGATTTATGCTCTGACCAATCTCCAATCATATTAACTTTACATGAATGGATCTTCCTCGAATTTAAGCATTTGTTTCCTTCTCTAGTTCATTTTTCTGTGAATAAATAAATAAGCTCTAATTAAAAATAAATCCTTTTGCTTTCCTTATTTTTGGACATTGTGCTTTTCTCTGCAGCTTGAAAAATTGTCTCTTCTCTTTTTAGTTTCTGATCTTCCTACTGCAACTGTTTTTACTGGCTTTTGCCAAAAGAGTTTCTTGAATAGGGAATTTAGGGAATGAGAATCAGAATTTGTTTCCTGCTTTAATCCATTTTAGTGTGTATAAAAAAAAGAACTCTAATTGAAAATAAATCCTCTTACTTTTCTTAGTTCTTGACATTGTGCTTTTATCTTTCAGCTTCACAAAGTATCTCCACGTTTTGTTGGAAAACCATCTTCTGAGTTTATTTTATAGTCAATATACAGGCCTGCCATCATTCTCCCAGGAATGTCCAAAGTTTTTGAAAGACTCCTTTTAAAAAGCCTAATAGGAATATTGACATTATTTCCTCTGCTTCAGATGCATTCCTAGACATATCCCAAGATTTTGACTGTTTCTAGCACCCGGGAGTCCTCTTCAAACTAGCACTTCTAACCCACTCCTTATTACCAAATCCTAAAATCCTATCTAACCGAATGCTGCTTCAGTGTCAGATGAGTCTTCCGAAGTCAGACCGATCCAGGCCGGCGTCCCACAAGGGAACATTCTTGGTCCCATCCTATTTTCAATTTATACTGCTGATCTGCCGATACATCTCCACCCTTACAATCTTTGCGGATGGTACTGCTATTTCATCTCCCAATTCCAATCCTATTCAAGCCACGTACAATATCCAGGAATATCTTTAGCTCATTGAAGAATGGTGCAAAACAAACAGCCTTGCCTACGTTTGTACGTCAACAATAAAAAAATACAGACAAGACTGAAGCGACAAGAACTAAACAGACGATTTTGACATCTACGATAACTTAAAGAACTGGAATCAAACTTGACAATAAAGAACAAACTAACTCTGTACAAAACATTACTTCAACCAACGGAGCGGAACTGCAGGTACCACCAAGCCATCTAACATCCAACGAATGCAAGCTTTCAAAATCAAAAAGAATTCTCAGAAAATTCTCCAAACTACTTACCATCTGTCAATCTCACTCGAAGTTTCCCTCAAAAATCTTATAGCTTCTCATTTTACTTTTTGGTTCTCTAACTACAACTATGTCCGCTCTTTTCTTTAGATGAGTGTTGAACTTTCTGCAAATGTCAGCATGTTTCACCTGTTCTAGTAATAATGAAAATAACCTTTAATAAAATGGAGTATTGTTTTAGTTCTAGTTCTTGATATTGTGCTAAACATCGTCCAGCGTGACAAGTTTTTCTTCGGTTCCTTGTAAGACCATCATCCCATTTTACTATTTGGTTCGCCAGCTACCATTTCATGAATAGGATCGAAATTCTTTCTTCTTCTATTTACCAGATGATCTTTATAGTTGTAAATCTTTTGTAAACTGCAGTACATTGCCCTTGGATTAGAACACGTTTTGTAGTGCTGGTGAATCAGACAGGAAAATTACTGAACCATTGATGAAACTCAGACAAATTTTTCTACTAGATGTACACCATGTTAGTATAGACGAAAACAGGAAAAGGTGTTTGAAATAATTGTATACATTGAAATGTATTGTAATAGCTAAGTACAACTCTAATTATTATTAGAATAATTTTGACATTTCATATTTTGGCTTCAGTTTACGGAAATTTTGAATATTATTAATCCCACATTATAACTTGAGTCGATTTCGTGTTTTAAACTTCTTTCCTTTACAAATCTTCCCATACAATCATTTATCACTTTCGTCGCTTTCTGCAATCTGCTACAAGCCGATATTCCCACGGGTTGGCTGCTAAATAATAATTTCACAAAGAAAAATATAAGAAAAAACCGCTGAATTCGCGGTGAAAGCAGGCCCAAATCTGGATAGTGCGGGTCTAAGACAACGGATGAACGTGTTGCCGGGCGGGCTACGTGAGCTATCGCTAAGTATTGCTCTCATCTCTTTCAATATAAAAACAGAGAGGAGCAAGCGGAAGGTACAGTTCGTCTCTGAAAACTAGAGAACACTAACAAATCAAAAATGTTCAAGGGAATCATCTTCTTCGCCGTTGTGGCTCTTGTTGCTTTCGAGGTAAAAACATATTAAAACACAATTACTATTTTATATAAATCAGTTATATAGTTTTATTGAATTGTTTAATTTTTTCTCGAAAGTTTGACATTTTTCTTGTAAATCTATAGGCTACCGCTACTCCATGTGGAACTTGCGGTGTCGCTAAGACCACCTGCTGCACCAGCACCCCGACCTGCGGCACCCTCGGAGGTGTCGGCCTCGGAGGAGTCGGCCTCGGAGGAGTCGGCCTCGGATACAACGGTGTCGGATACGGAAACCTCGGAGGAGTCGGTCTCGGATACAACGGTGTCGGATGCGGAACTCTCGGAGGAGTCGGTCTCGGATACAACGGTGCCGGATACGGAACTCTCGGAGGAGTCGGTCTCGGATACAACGGTGTCGGCTGCGGAAGGACCACCTGCTGCACCACTGCCCCCACTTGCGGTGTTGGCTACGCTACTGGTATGGGAGTCGGCTGTGGCAACTGGTACTAAATTCCACCCAACCGGATACCATTGACCCCTCATCAGTTAAACCAATAAAAATTGTTTTTTGTTGAAACAAAATTTCGCCTTCTTTTATAACAACCTTTACAGCACCTTTCTCTGACTAAAGATAAATTCAATTAATATGATAAACATTTAAAAAAGTTACAATCAAGAATACTGATAAAATAGTTAAATCTAAAATTTAGGAACGGTATTAAATAAATCTAGCGATTTCTAACAATATTTCAACTTACCTAAGTCACGGCTTGGCCAATCAGTGTAATTGACTAATAAATAAAACAAAATATAAAACAAACATTCAACATAAAAAAATTAAAACTGCTTAAAACAAACGATCAACTTTTGAATCACTATGGTTGAACCTGGCATGGTTCGGGCAATTTAACAATAGCTGATTGTTAGATATTAGTTTACAATCTGTATTTAACGACTTATTCTAATTTAAAAAAAATAATAAGTATGATCGTTTCTGAACTTCTTGGTCCACCTAATCTCGCTGGTTTTGCTTGCCATACCTGTTTATTGTGTTTATTTCACCATCTTGCCTTTTGTCTCGTAGTCAAGATTGCGTCTCGATTCCTTTGTAGATTCTGGTTTCCTGATTGCTTGGATAATATTGTTCGAGCCCAGAAAAGCAATAGGCCCAAGAATAACATGCTGGCATTCACCCAATGGTCAAACGTAAATGAAAAACACAAAATTTTACGTCTCTATCAAGTAATTCAATATTAAATAGTAAAAATGGTCTATTATAGATGTTAGTTAATTTGAGCTTAATGTCATATCCTTACATTAACATCTTTCTTCGATCACCCTGCTCTGCCTGTTCTCGCTGGTTTAGCCGAGCATGCATCTATTTTTTAGCATTTCACTATCTTCTGTCCTTTTGAATTGTAGTCATCGTTGTTTCTCAATTTTTTATATATTCTCGTATGTGATTGTATAGATGCTTGTCTGAAATTATAAGCCAACATAAGAAGAACAGTATGCATTCATTACGGCCAAACTTAATGAAAAAAAATATAACCAAACAATATATATAAGTGGGTAGTTTATGGGCCGACAAACAGCTGAGGTCATCGCCGGCCCTCTGCGTGTTTTTCATCTTTTTCTTTTCTTTCGCGCATATTTTGTTTTAAACTGCAGCCATTTGAGCGTCTCGATCTGGTTACTGACTTTCTGATTTCAGATATATACTACGTTGATATTCTAGAATGCTAGTCTCTCGTTTGTACCTCAGGTTGTCAAATACAGAATAAAAACAAAATATACAATACATATATATACATAACCACAAACATAGATGTCTGGTCACATTCATTCCCCCAGAGTATTCGATATTCCTCGGGGCGGGGTTATAAGCAACCCCTTCCTTTCACGCTAATAAATTACTTTTACTCTCCAGACGTCATACACTCACCCCAGAGTACTTGATATTCCTCGGGCCAGGGTTATAAGAAACCCCTTCCTTTCACGCTAATAAATTACATTCATTACGATAAATTAACACAAACACAACACTCGATAGAAACATAGAGGTCTGGTCACTTTCACTCCCCCAGAGTACTCGATATTCCTCGGGGCGGGAACCAAACAATAATTTCAAAGTATTATTTAATTAACCTACTTTAACTGTTAGTTTATAATCTGAGCTTAATGACTTATTCTAACTTAAATAAATTGAAATATGATCGTTTTTGAACATCCTGGTCCGTTTATTCTAGCTGGTTTTGCTTGTCATAAAAGTTTTTCTCATTTTATCACCTGCTTTTTGTGTCATAGTCATGATACTTTTTCAAATTTTTTATACATTCTTGTTATGTGATTGCATTTGTCTGAAATACTAGGCCAAAGAACAACGTTCTGACATCCACTCAGTATGGCCAAACTTAACAGAAAGAAACAAACTTACAACTTAACCAAAATTTACATTTTTATCCAATTCAACAGTTTTTAAAATTTATTTAATATTTTATTACAATCTGCAATTTCTAATTACAACATGTAATTTGAGGATACATACATGTACATATTTATATGGAGGAGACGAAGTAGTCAATATTATTATTATTATTTATTATTATTATTATTATAGAAAGGAGGTTTTCTTTGGAGTATAAATGTGACAAAGACGTATTTGCGTTATTTATCTTAAGTATGTCGGCCCTGCATTCGAACCCGGGTCCTTTACTTCCAGTGATGAGCGCCATGTCAACGCCTAAACCGTTGCGGCCACCGACGCCCCATCATTTATCATTATTTTCCATTATCTGCACCAACCTGCTATACATATGATGGCACGTGATCTGCAGTTCTTCGGAGGTGACCGCAGGATTGAAGTCAGAGGATAGAACAGCTGTGCCATCGGCAAAAGACGCAAGGTCTGAGCACACTGGTATGAGGTATTCCCGCTGCCAAAAAGATTCGTAGCAATCCGTTCCTTGTCGGATTCGAAAGAACCGCTCTGTTAGATTTTTAGATGTTTTTGGACATGAGGACAAGCGGACGTACGTCATTTTATCTGCTGATATACATCGCAGCCTTTGTAGTTTGCTGGTTGGTTCTGTTTGCAAAGAGCGCCTGGGACGTCAAGGCACCAGTTCTTCCGAGAATGTGGCTTTTCCACCTTCACTCTCATAGGGAAAATTGTCGTTACTCTATATATTTGTTGGAAAATGAAGAGGTCGAAGGACACTCTTTCTTTTTCTTGAAAAGCATTTCGTTGAGCTCTTGCTTAAAGGTTTCGATTGAAGTGGTGTTGTAATTTTTTTAAACAGATTTTGGTTATGTGATTTCATAAGGTATTTTTCTGTAATATTAGGCCGAAGAAACAACATGCTGGTATCCACTAAGTATGGCCAAACTTATCAGGAAAGAAAAAGCTTACAGCCTAACAAAAAATTCACAGTATTATTCAAATCAACAGTTATTAGTTTATAATCAGAGCATAATGGCATCCTCTACTTTTGAAGTATGATCGTTTCCGATTATCCTGGTCCGTCTGTTCTCGCTGTTTTTGCTTGCCATACATGTTTTTATTGCATTTCACCACATGCGGTCTTTTGTGTGCTGTTTGCTGACACAAGTTTACCATTTTTCGTCGAAAATTTAACTCACAAGCCTAAAATGATTATTGAAATATTTTCTTCTTGTAAGACAGTCCTTTAAAAAAATTGTCAGAGTATGGCCGAAAGCCTCAGTGAATGTACGTATGTTGTCATGGGTGCTTCTTTATTATAAAATAGACCCTCTTAAAATAGAATTATTGTGTTAAGACTAAAATTACAAGGCAAGAAATAAACAGGAAAATTTTACAAGGTAAAAGAACCTCAACCCAAATATCCCTTTGATCAATCTGCTGACAAATCATTTTGAAAACAGTTTACTCTCCGACTACCGCTAACTGAAATGATAATTTCTTAACACTTATTGTTTGAAACTTTTAAAAATTGCGGTTATTGTTAATTATTCATGACTGAGCAACTTCCGCGACTCGTGGGTAAAACCGGCTCCTAAAAGTTGCTAAAAAGCAAAAAATGCAATCTTTGTTTTTTTATTTCAATTTTCAATCTTTCATAAGAGGTTATTATTTAATGAAACATAAAAATTACTCTTTGACACGCTGGCTATTTAAGAAAATAGAGTTTCGTTGTTATAATAATTTAACAGTTTAAATTCTACAAATAAGACATATTAAAAAATACGTTTTCTATGGTTGTATATCAAACAAAACCCACAGAAAAAAATTTCTTTGCAGAATCGACAGAAAGATTTATTTTTAGAGCGAGACAGGCCGTTTCCTAGGCGGAATAGTCAAACAAACCAAAGGTGACTGGCCCCCGAAGGAAAACGAGTAAAATTCAACGGATGGAAAATTATCAAAGCAGGAAACAAATCCTCAGGGTGGGGCATGATTCATTGCCAGCGGTTAGAACGATTAATATATCACGGATCCCCAGGTAATCTCTTTATGAAATGATAACGTTTTCGTTATTTTAATTTTCACTTACGACATTAAGAGACACGGTAAGTTCGAAACGGCTAACACTTTGGGAACGTCTATCACTCTCTCTCTCTCTCTCTCTCTCTCTCTCTCAATAATAAAACCAAAATAGAAAAGAAGAGAGTCTATTTAAACCGTGTTGGCATCATGGCTCATCACACCACCAGCCGTGAACCTCTGGGTGATTTAGACATCTACACATCATAAGGTTTGTTCCAATACGCATTCAAACCATCAGTAAACTGTCGGGAGCATGCCCAATTGGATTTGGGCGTTCTAACACGCTAGAAATGCCAACTCAAGATGTCAGCCGGCCGTACCAACACGGTTTTAGGCCATGTTTTTAACCCGTTTTTGACTGTCAAAACGGTCCAAAGGATTGGCTATGGATATAATCAAGCGTCCGTCTTCTCCTTGATTGCCACAGCTCTCAGCTGATTAAAAGGTGTGCATGAAGTATATCATGGCCAAGATTTTTATTTGCTTTTACAAGACCTTGCTTTCCCATATACTCGATCGTCCTTAAAAGGACAATAAGGATCTTTAACGTCCGCATCTAGCCTTCCGGCCTTATCGGAAGTTTCGATTCAGAAGATGAGAGCTGACGCACCTCCCCATACGACAGAAGTGTGTTACTACTGCAGCATTGGTGTAGAGTCAGCCCAGTACCGAGGGGCCAAGACAACATCGCCTCCCGCTTGCCCATTCCGAGAGGTCGGGTCCGCATTAAGCATCGAACCGTATGCCGCGCGCAAAATAGAAAAGGCCACTCTATCTTTCAGAGTATTGAGGCTTCCCCAGCGTAGAAACTTCCGGATCCGCTCCGGCCGCGGTTTCGTTTAAAGTGGAAAATCACCCCCTAGAGGAGACTGCCTACGGTAAAAGCCGCCAATCGAGCACATTGCCTACACCTGCGTGCACAGCGCACTCGAATAGGAGCAACCGATTCACTACCCAGTTCCATCTGCCACTAATCACGCATTCGCGGGATCCCGCTTTACGCTTCTATTGTCCGATCCTTCGTATCCCGTGACGCCGGGGGTCATACGCAAGTTTCGTGGGAAGGTCACAGATCGAAGACAGCCTTTTCTCCAGGTACCCGCCAGGGGTGTCACGACGGCCAACTTTTACAAGACACACAACGAACAAACAATCTAACACACAAATGTTAATTTTTTTTCAAAAAACTAACCTTACATTTCCTATTGCTAAAACTAGGCGCCAAACAAAGATCATGTACTTTTTAATTGACAGTCACCAATATTTAAAACGAACTTGAAAAAAATAAGTTGCAACAAGCGAAATTAAAAGAACCAGAAATGATAAATCAATTGAACAATGTACAAAAAGTATCAGAACCACCCACAATTCCTAAAACAAATTATTTCTCATTGTTGTAAAGGCAAAATTTATACTTTTTACCTCTATGAATGCAAGTAAAAAGAAGTTTTGTTATGATGTGAAATTTTTGTTGTCTTATTTATAAGTATTGATTATTCGATATTCTTCTCTATTACGACTGGTACTATGTAACACTGGCAAATATTCAGTGAGTGTCAGCATGTTGTTCATAATAATGTGATAAACGTTTAAAAGAATATAGGTAAATAAATAAAATGTAGACAATCTAATCTAATATTTTGTCAAACGTGATGGTAAAAGTGTTTGTCTATACAAACGGTTTAACAAAAATAAAATTGCATACACTTTTTTTTCACTTGAGATAATTATTTTGTTAAAAATAGTCTTTTGGTTGACAGCGCCTTCAACCTGGCGAATACTAACCGTCAGCGCAGTTCAGTAGAACGGGTTTAATCTAACTCGACTTTTGTTTTCTTAACGTTGGTCCTTCGAAATTTTTAAATACAAAAATTAAATCAATATATAAAATATGTAAAGAAAATGTTTAAAAAATTTTGTCATGACAGGAATTATTCAACTTTATAACCTTCGAATCACACCTGTTTTTAATCATTAATACATTTTCATTATTAATGTTAATGTGAAAGCATTTTGTAAATAAATTATATTTTATTTTATTTTTTTTTTAAACTTTTTATTTGTTTTTTACTTTATTTTATTTAATATAATTTATTTATGTTTTATATTTTTATATTTTATAAAATATAAATGCTTTTATATTTTAAATAATTGTTTTTTTTTGCAAGAAAAAATATATTGATTCAATATTGATTTAATTTCTAAAACTGACATTAAAATTACGCAAAATAAGTGAATCTACAGATAAAATATCTGTGAAGATATGTCTAATTGTTGGCTATATTGTAAGCACCTTTTTTTCCGTTGACTAAAATAAATTCATACAAAAATAAATAAAGCTTTCATTTGTACGTGTTTAGTGCTATAGCAAATGATCTCTTGGGAGATGCTAAGATACAATTGTTTGTTTAAAGGGGATTTAATATTTTTCAGAAAATAAATTTGTGTAAAGTTTGATCATTCGTGTTCATCCTGGTCTTTTTATTGTATAGGTCACAAGAGTATTAACTGAATGATCAGAGATTATCAAACCGCTGACAAATATCCAATAAACCATAGATAGATCAAAACGGTTTTGTAAGAAAAAGAACGCTTAGTAGTTCGTCAAATATTGGAATGTGCTCAATCTCGCAAAGATTTTTAGGAAGGAAAGAGGTAAAATAAAAATAAACAAAAACACAAGCGAATATTTTTCATATCTGTTTAATTGAGTATGTCAATTTTGTTGGAGATGTGGAAACTGAATAGTCAAAGCTCATATTGCATTTAAAAATGCAAATTGGAATAATTTTTTCGTATTGCTCAGAAGAATTCATTCCGTGAGTGGAATTCAAGGGTTGGCTGTCCTGCGAACATTAGTGCGTTGAGAGTTGCGCTCGTTTGGGCAGGACAAATAGACATTGGTTGCAGTCGTTGCCCTTGAATCAGCATTGGAAAATCCTACAGGATTTACTTCTTGAGGGCCAACATTGACATTTTGGTCTTGGGTTGATGAATGTGTTGGCCTAGTTGGTTGTGGGACAGGATACAATGTCTGAGTTGGGTGGCTGCGGCGATCAACTTGATCCGGGTACATTGGTTCGGAATATTGTCCGTTTAATTGTTGACGAGCGGACTCAGGGTATAGACGATAGTTATCTACACCTTGTTGGTTTAGGTATGGTCCATCTACATAAGGAGAGTTGGGTTGTTCTTGAAGGTCCAACGGGTCAAGTTGATGATTCCTACAATTTCTTGACGTCTGGTAAATATTGACGATGTTGCCTCTTGTACAAGGTTCACGATAGGCATTTCCAAACCTGTCCTGATTAGAAAGCAAAAGTGAATCTTGTTCATGGTTTGAGTTTAGTACAGAATCTTGAGTCTGGCTGTTGACGTTCTGCAGTTGACCAACATTTACTTGGCCATCTTGGAACCTAGGTCGGCTTTCACGTCCATTACGACGTCCATCAAATCTTGCATCAAATCTAGGTTCGCGGTATACATCTGGGTTCCTCTGGGTATTGGCACGTAGGCTTTGAGCATTCTGTGAATACTGAACACCTTCGAGATCCCAGTTTGCAGCGACACTGCACACCTAGAACAATGATACAATAGTCACGACTGTCTGTTCACGTTGTTATTATTGATTCCACGTTGTTAATAAATTAGTGAGAGAACTAGGTCAGACATCACTGTGAGATAAGTTCCCTGGAACAAGGAAATACAGAAATCGATAGATTTTCAGATCATCGGTTTTGACTGTTATCTTGAAGGAAAATACACGATACATCACGTTTGGATATGTATCCATAGAAAACATGTTTCTTGTTCAAATATTTAATAGAATAATCTTTGTAATCGTGCGATATTTTTTATACTTAAAATTTATTGGTAACTTGGCAAATATACTTTTGGAAAATAGTCGTATGGCTTTATGTTTAAATTTTAAAGCAAGGTTTAAATCCACATGAACATTGTATGTATAAAGATTTCTTGCCATGCTGATGAATAATTGTCTCCATTTTGACCTTCGTTGTTCGAACTTGGTTTATTGGGTCAATCATGACCACCTTTGAAAAATATTCAACCTCTACAGATGACGTTGAAAAGGTTTGCCAATATATTCGATTCACACAATTTATTTTGTGGGACATCTTCAGGAGGTCTTAGGGATTGATAGGTCGGAATATCGGATAGGTAGGATAGGTAGGAATATAATCGGATAGGTAGGAATATAAAAATTCATAAAATAAAATTAAAATTAAAATTTCAAAAATTATTTGTAATACATTTATAATGGGCGATTTAATATAAAAATCAACTGAACATGGAGAAGGAGAAAGATAAAAAAACAGACATTCACTGGATAGTTCGTATTCACTTCCACGCCTCGTGGCGTATAAAGTACCAAATCAGTCATCACAGACAGACGGTTATCGAAAAACGACCAAACTATATTTATTTTTGTTAAGTTCCAATAGAAAAACAAACAGTTGTAAATTTCTTTTATTTCAACATAATTATTTAATTAATTAATCTTTTTACGTAAGGTTTTGGTTGAAATTAACAAGTGAGCGTCACAAGCGGGATTCGAACCCACGACCTTCGGCTAAATACGCCGCTGCTCTATCACTTGAGCTCGTAACATCGATCCGCTCGGACACCAACCTCCCATCTTAACCCCCTATTGAATTTTCCCTCCTTTTTGCCATTGTATCAACCAAAACCTTAATTAAAAGATTAATTAATTGAAAAAAATTAACTGGTCAATTGGACCACGAAACCTAATAGATGTAATAATTATTTAAATTTAATATGTAGAAATATTTTTAAAAATTGTCACCAGCTTCTACCGAAATAGGTTTTTAAAAGAACCGTTTTCACACCTTACCAATTGGAGAAAAGTAAACTTAATCTCAATTTTTGAATTATCTGGCACTACATTTCAAATGCTTAAACAAATTAATTACATTACATACATGTAAGTCGTACAGTACGATTTTAGACAATACATTGAAAATATCCTGTTATTATTTTTTTGACGTACCAACAAGAAGGTGAGAAGTAATCCCCGGCGCATTTGCATGATTGTTATTAACTGAGAGGATTTTCACGTCAATTGTTTTTAAATACCGCCGGTTATCCTGGTGGTCGGTATCAATTTGTGATATAGGGGTATGCGATTGAAAAATTGAAAAAAAATTGGAGTCATCGCTGATTGTGAAGCTTTTTTGATTGGTTGGTTTAGTTTGTTTCCCGACAAATTTACCTTTTTCAATTAGAAATAAACCTTTTTAATTTCATAATACTTTTTTACCTTCAAATTAGGCATTTTTAATTTCAAATTAGGCTTTTTTATTTCTCAATATTCCATTAATCCTTCCATTTAAAACATAAAAACTAGGAGATGGTAGGAAATGTAACCACGTAAAGTAAAATTCCTAGATAAAAAAATTAAAATAACTGAGTCCCTTAGAAAACCTCGTGATAATTAATTGCAAATAAGATTAAAAATGATATGAAATTAGATATAGAAACAAATGATTTTTAATTTAATACGAGATTTTTTAAATATAAATAATTGAAATCTTAAAAACCATTAAACAATTAAATATAATTAAAATGAAAAATGATATTAATTTAAAAAGAAAGGATTATCCTTTTAATTTAGGAATCAATATAAATATAAATTAATTGGCAAACTATTTTTCAGATTTAAAAAGAAATTCTAAAATATTAGTCATTTTAATACATACCATTACATTACATACCATCACCTATATTTGTAGTATAGAAAAGGTTAATTTGATATTGAAAAGTGTTTTTAAGCTCGAAAAGGGATAATTTCAAATGAAAAAGAGATACTTTGACAGAAAAAAGCCAAGCCAATTGTTTTTTTTAAACCACCGGCTAACCTGGCGGTTGGTATCACTTCTTTAACTAGGGCGATTGAGAAATTGTAAAAAATGGAGCCATCGCTGATTGTGAAGGTCTTTCGGTTGGTTGGTTTAATATAGCTTTTTCCCGTTAAATTAAGCTTTTTTAATTAGAAATTTTCGCTTTTTAATTTCATATTAACCTTTTGTACTTTTACATTAATTTCTTTTTAATTTCAACTTCAGCCTTCTTTTAAAACATGGAAAACAACCTAAGAAATGTTATATAATGTAACCGTATAAAATAAAATTCCTGCATGAAAATTAAAAAAAATTAATTTAAAATACTTAGAAGACTATGTGACAATTATTTACAAATAAAATTACAAATAATATACAATTAAATATAAAACAAATGATTCTTCATTTAATTTGAGATTTTTTAAAAATATAATTGGAATCTTAATAACTCAATCTATTACAATTGAAACGAACACATACATTAAACAGAGACAGAAGTTCACGGGTCTATTTTTTATGTTTGCTTTAAAATATAAATCTAAAATCTACAGGAATTTAAATTTATACGATATTATTACGAACCATCACCTATGTCTGAAGTTAAAAAAAAGTTTAATTAAAGTTAAATTTAAGTTTTTAGATTTAATTTTTTTAAACCTTAAAGATGATAAAGTTGTAAAAAATGTGTTATTTCTTTAGCCCTAAAAAAATGGGGGTGCAATTTGTTGGCTCTATGTGGAGAGCGTGTAAGAATGCCACCCGAAATGAAAATCGAGCTTGAGCACGGCAGAGAATATCTGTGTCTCCTGATTGGATTTTTGGAGGAAACAGGGTTATTATAATATATAATACTGGTAATTTTTGCACCTAACGTGTGTTGATAGTGAATGTATTTGTCAGCGTGAATATTTAGTGTGAGATGGCTGATGGGGATAATGAGTACCACACCCTTATGTAGGTTCGAAATATAATATGTGTAAAAAGGATTATTGGAATACAGAATATGATATGTAAATAGAAAAGCTAATGTACTTAAGAATGAATGAGAGTGTGAATGGGATTGGATCTAGGAACTACATGCATGCCATTTAGCTGTTGACGTCCTTAGGAGCACAACCTCGGTAGCTAGGTGGATAAGGCTGGCATTTCCCGGGGTGGGTGATCTTCCAACCTGAGGTCTACGCAATAGGGAGATGTACTCAATTCAAACATGTCAGATAGCCATCAAAGCACTAAGCTCAAACATCAACAGTTCAAAGATGGTGTTATACTACAAAACATATTAGGTATGCGGAAGAAAGTCAGCCTCTGCTGGGCCGCAGGACATGTGGGAGTAGAAGGCAACGAGAAAGAAAGGGGGCAAGAAAAGGGGCCGTTGTACTGCTGGTTCGACCCGAACCCTTCTGTAGCAGAGAAACAGTATCAATGAGTACCTCAGACAGAAGTATAAAAAGAAAATGAAGGAACAATGGAACTCACTCATTGGAAACAAACAATCCAACAGGTCATTGCAAACTAAACGGATATTTAAAGAAGATTGGCATAACCCAACACGGCACGTGTAAATTCTGCAAAGAAGCAGAGGAGACACCAACACACCTATTAACAAACTTACTTTCCCGTAGAAGGAATTGCTTTGGGACTTACTATTTGACTGAAGAAGAAATTCAACCACTGAAACCGAACCTACTATTCAAATTCCTTGATCAATTAGTACTCACGGGTGTGTTGGTGGAGGTAGGCACAGAACGGGGGATACAACAGCTCTTAAAGGGAGCAGTATATTACACACCACAACAAATAGATCTACGGGGCCTGCCGACAATTGATTGTACATTACAAAAGCTGGAATTGCCGGTGAACTGCGAGAAGTGATAGGCTCAACTCTGTACTTAAATGCGCAAATTGAACTAAATAAATATAAATTCAATCAAAATCCCAAATAAATAGTGGTTATGGTGTCCGAATCGTATTTGCTTCGCTAGAGGTCCTGGATTTGAATTCCAGCATAGCCCCTAGATTTTTAATTGAGGATAATTCCAAATAGCATTGTAAAGTGGTTTTTGACCTTTCGTCTCCAACATCCAGGCAGGTGGTGCGTTGATTTTTCCTATGGTGCGTCGAAAAATCTTGTCTTGATCAAAAATTAGATAAACCTTTTGAAGTTTGACAAAGGATTCAGTTCATCTATTCAAAATATAGAAAAAAAACACTCAAAATATTTTTAAAACATGTATTTTCAGTTTGGGATCGAAACCACTACGTGGCGCTTGGAATTTTTCTGACTCAATCAAAATACTTTTTGGAAAAGGCAGTTCTACTGACAGAAGTTTTTGGCAATGGCTTCGATTCTCCCATAAAATGATTGCCATACTCACTCTACCTCAAATCAAAATACACCTGATACGTAGAATGAATGCAAAGAATGGCAAAAACAGCGTTCCCGCTTGAAACATTATTTAGGTGGATGATCAGATAGCAAGTTTTCCCCTCACGCCCCCGAACTGGTCGTTGGGTTCCTCCAGCTGGTTTATATTATTTAAATGTGCTAATTGAGCATTTCATTTTATTGGTAGTTTACTAGAGGGGCTTCTTGGTTTTATGTTTTTAAAGCATATGGCAGTTTTTGTCGAATGCCCTTACTGGTCCTACAATGTTCTTCTTCTGAAAAATGAGCTGATATAAGCTCTAGTGTGCTTTTGGCAGCTTCTTTGTAACTCCATCTGTTTTTACATACTTTTTTATATGTCCTTTGGACAGAAGTTTCTTTCGTTGCAGTGGGGAAGTTATCGATCCCCTCATAGATATTTTGGCTGAAATGATAATATATAGTTATAGTTTTTTATGCCAATACTGGTATGATGTTATTTACTTATTTTGGAGGTGCTTTTTCAACATATGCTGGTAAGTAGGTTGAGGCTTATTTATATCCGTTCTTAATCCTTAGCTGGATGGTGCCTCTTCTACTGGAATAAGATAGATTAGGGGTGAAATCTGGAATTAATTGAAATTTTACTACTGGATGTGAGAGGACTGGGACCCTAATCTCATGTTCCTTGGAGTACTTCAGTTTACCTGTGTTTGGTAGTATATCTTTTACTACCTCCTTACTTCACGTTTTTTCGAGTCGAGGGAAGTCTAGGTGCTCCTAGGTGGTATAAACATCATTAGCCAAGTTTTTTATTTTTTTGGTTTGAGGGGAGCCATTTGCCACATTTGTCAAATTAATCTTTTAGTTAAAATTAACTATTTTTAATTTCAAAGTAAATCCTTCTTAAACCAATAAAAGAACTTAGGAGATGGTATGAAATCGAAACGTGAGAAGTTAAATTCCTATTTATTGGCGAATGTTTTTATTTTTAAAATAAAAATTTGGGCTCTTATAATACCACATGAAAACATTAAAATTGAATGTTATTCAAAATTAAATATACTTATTTATTAAAGTTATTAAAAATCATTAATAAAATGATTATTTATTATTCGAGTTTTAGATAATAAGTATTCCTTCATAATCTAAACATACGATTGGAAGCCGTGATTTTCATCATGACGCCCTTCCTTCATTCACGCCAATAAATAAATTCACACAAGAGTTAAAATCACGCCTTCACTATCCAAAGTTATGGGGGGGGGCACTCGATATACACATCTAACCACTCACGAAAATAAATACATTCACACAATTCGGTTGTCAGGGTTTTGGATATTACGCCAGTGACTACCCCCTTATCATTCTGTAAATATATATAAAACTAAGTAAGCTAGACTACTTTTGTGCGTTTATGGGTAGTCGATGTTCAATCATAAGCACACCAAAACGTACTATAACTTTCACGCTAATAAGTACAATCATTTAAATTAAGTATATTATTTTATCCTTTCGTATGAAAAAAAGTCTCCCTATATGTAACCAAATACGTTTATCAGCTACAGATATCGAATCAATTATGACCAACACTGTGCCTTAGAAGTTGTTTAAAATCACATTCTAGTAATATTTGCTGTAAAGATGCTTGTGCATCGCATAACGGGTTAGATTTAAATTAAAAATAGTCTATTTTAATTAAAAAATTTTGATTTGAAAATGTAAAAAAAAAATAATTTGACGGTAAAACAAGTTTCACCAACCATAATATCTGTACAGTTTTCGTTTTCGGCCTTGCTAAGCTAGACTAAGCTCCAGGAAAAGATTGCGTTGTGTCGAATCAAAAGAACGAGAGTTGTTTCGGAAATGTTAACTACCGAAGAGGTTTATGAAAATATTACAAAATTACAAGTATATCATGTCAAATGTGTAATGGTTGTGTGAATATTATAATCAGAAAAGATAGGGTGTTGATCGATTTTTAAAGGAAATACTGGATGGGTCTGTCGTTTATTTTGATCCAGGGAGCACAGAAGGCCAAAACAAAACTTGTAAGAAAGTCTACAATTAGTAGTCACGTCTGGAACATGTTTAGCCCGTTTACGACAAAACAGCGGTCCGCTTTAAATAGTGTGTTCCGTCTCAGGAAGGAGTCAAAATGTACGCGAAGACAGTTATCGTCGCTTTGTTCTTGGCGAGTCTTTGCGGCGGCGGAGATGCTTGCTGCAAGAAATTACTCCTTTCCGATGCGTGCTTCTGTAAGGCTCCTCTCTGCCTAGCACCGGCTCCGGCACCAGCGCCAGTCTGCTACGCTCTACCTGCTCCGGCACCGCCTCCAGTGTGCTTGTCACTGCCGCCTCCGCCGCCGCCACCACCGATCTGTCTGGCACTTCCGCCGCCGCCACCGCCACCTCCGGTCTGCCTAGCTCTACCGCCTCCGCCGCCGCCACCACCAGCTTGTCTTCCCCCACCACCGCCACCGCCGGTCTGTCTTCCTCCACCGCCGCCACCGCCTCCACCACCGGTCTGTCTTCCTTCACCACCGCCACCACCGGTCTGTCTTCCCTTACCTCCACCACCGCCTCTGTGTCTTCCTCCTTCACCCCCGCTTTGTCTATCTCCTCCGCCAACGTTTTGTCTACCTCCTTCGCTCCCGCTTTGTCTACCTCCTCCACCCCCGCTTTGTCTGCCTCCTCCGCCAACGTTTTGTCTACCTCCTTCGCTCCCTCTTTGTCAACCTCCTCCACCCCCTCTTTGTCTACCTCCTCCGCTCCCGGTTTGTCTACCTCCTGAACCACTTTGTCTTCCTCCCTCACCAATCGCTCTTCCGCCTTTACCACTTTGTCTGCCTCCTGCAGGACTCCCTCTTCCGCTTTTGTCTCTATTGCCTCCTCAACTCCAAAAGTTGCTCGGATTACTAGCATCACTTGGCATACCCCCATCGGCACTAGCTACGCTCCCTCCTGCTGCACTTGAAGCACTAGGCCTGTCCCCGGCACTTCTTGCACTTCTGGGTGTAGCACCTGGAGCAGCTCCTCCTGCCAATCCTGGTATCCTTCCCGCACTCCTTGCAGCTTTAGGCCTTCCCCCGGCACTTCTTTCAGCACTAGGTCTAGCACCGGGTGCACCCCTTCCTGCTCTCCCTCCTTCAGCACTTGCAGCACTCGCTGCTGCACTGGGCGCACCCCCTGCGCTTCCTCCACTACCCGCTGCATAACCGTCTCTTAGCACTTTTCTTTTGACCAAGACTTACGTTACCCGTACGACCAGGTATCAATTGTAATATTTGATTTTGTAAATATTTTTTTATGTTTTGAACTGTTAATATTACGAATATAATGATTTATTTAATTTTTATTGTTTATTAAGTTATTGTCAGAATATCCCATTTGCAGGAAACACTGTCATCTTCATTTCTACATTTACTTTTTAACTACATTTCCTTTTCGTCGAGTATAGTTTAAAATATGTATGAGAGAAAAGATAACTTTATTTGAAAAAGAAACCACTTTCAAAAAATAGGCTTAACAGAAAGATAATAGCATCGTCAATACAGCGTAGATAAGACAGAATTATTAAACTACGTTAGTTTTACTTTTTTGTAATTGTAATAAATTTATTTAGTTTTCTTTTATCATCATACGTGACAGATTTCCACCTCAAAATTCTCCCTTAATTCGGACCAAAATGCGATAATTTCAAATGCAGTCATATGTCATGGGTACGATTTATGTTTCAGGTCCACTTCCTGTGTTGCCAACCCGTGCCAGTGTGTTATTAGTATAGTATTTATTGAAGTTCAGGAATTAAATTATTCGTTTAGTAAACAGTGTTTGATTTCGACTTCCTATTTACTCGATATGTTATCCTTTGTATTTGTCCACATTCTGTCTATTTGCCTCTTTTCGCACGCCGGTCTCGGATCGAACGTGTGATTCTTGTTGTGAACGATCATCAAGGTAATGAACTTGTTATTCGTTTTTAAAGGACGCGACATGATAAAACGCCAGGTTGATGGATGTCCGCATGTTTCTCTCTCAATCATTACCAAAACTACATGTTTACAGATATGTATTTAAAGTTGCCAGAATTCGATATGGGGAATATCTGAACATTTACCAGTGACACGGTAGATAAAATTCCACTTCACAGGATGTCCGCGTGTTGTTCTGGCACTCATTGTTAAAACTAACTATATATGAAATATTTATTTTTTGTTAATAATTTCAAGGTGTGATAACTTTTTAATGTTAATCAACCAGGTACACGACTAATTAAACACCATGCTAGGTTAATGCACGTCCGCAAAATTCTTTCATACTCACTGCCTAAAGTGTTACAGTATAAACAATTTTTGTAATTTCTTGTTATGTATTTCGAGGCGATGACGTTTTCTAAAGGTTTGTAAAAAACAAGAAACGATTAAACGTCAAGTTACTGGATGTGTACAAAAAGTAAATAATTATTTAACTTTTATGATTTTTTATAAACCTTTGGAGATGATTGTTTTTATAGGGAACGTTAAAGAGATAAATATTTTCTGAGTTTTTTTTTCTTAAACAAGGCTGTTGAAAAACCAGGTCAGTGGATATCCGCATATTTCTCTCGCACTGTCTGACAAAAGTTATACTTAAAACTTCTGTGATTTTTTTGTTGTTGTGAAATGCGGGGCGATGCTCTTTTTTATACTCTTGTCCGGGAGAGGACTTGATTATCCGCCCGGAAAGAGGGTGTCTGCATGTTTCGCTCGCAAAGGCTACCAAAAAACAAAAACAAAAATGATACTTATGAGAACGTTTTTGTTGAGAACTTCGAGTTAATAATTTTTTTTATACGTTAGGGCATGTTATGATAAAACGTTAGATCAGTGGTGGTCCGCATATTTTTCTCGAACTCATTGTAAACAGTAAATATATTTACAACACAGTAAATATACGGCTGTTAAAGTAGAAGTCTGTGAAACTTCTCAATACTTTCACACAAACCCAATATGACACCAGAAGAATAGCACCACACTTTATGCCCTGATGATGACGCGAATAAAGGTCGAAACGTCGGCAAAAAATGAAAAAGATGTTTTTGTATACAACCTCATTCTTGACCGCTCCTCACGACTTCAACAAATTAAAAATATAATAAATATATCATAATAATAAATATTTTTTATACGTTAGCTAGGTTTGTTAAAACGCCAGGCCAGTAGATGTCCGCATATTACTCTTTCACTGGCAGCAAAAAAATTAATATCTTTTACACGTTAGTGGCAAGGTATGATGAAATTCTAGGTCAATGGATGCCCGCATTTTTCTTTTCCACCTATTACCAAAACTATATATATATATATATATATATATATATATATATATATATATTTAAAATGTCTTAGATTTCTTGTTGAATCTGACGAAATTACGGACAGCATAACCAATCACACAATACCTAGATGATCCAAGTGTAATAAATAAGCAAGGTAAATTAATTTGTTAGGATGGATAACAGGTTGTAAACGATGAAAACTATAATTTATTTACAAAAAGGTTAATTTATTCTAAAACAAAAATATTTTAATGCAATGCAAAGAAAGCAAATTGACTGATAACATGCTAATAATTTCAATTTTAATTGGCAGAAAGGTTTTACAAATTATACATTAGCTCGCCAATCATGTAGCATTTGCTTACCAACTATTGTATTGAAAATGCATGCAGTCATTTCCTGAGAAAAGAAGTTGGTTTAGATTGAGATCCATCAACTATTCAAATGCATAGGTTGCATTAGAGGGTAAGGTGGACAGGCGATAATCTGCCGGAAAACCTTGACTCCTTCGTCCTGCTTCTGCTCTGTCTTGGGCAGGCAGTCAGGAAAAAGGTTGACCAGAAGGGTCACCAGGCCGCGCAGAAGGATACGCAGCTTTTGCTTCGATATTTCAACTTCGTCTTCTAATTCGCACCTCTCCTCAACATCCTACAAACACGTTAGAATAAGTTTCAAAGTTGCGGAAGTCACATCCTCCTAAACGCAGAATATGCTGAACGTACACAAATGGCAGAAACAGAATTTATCGTGTAGGTTGAAAACAAAAATCAGGATGGTAAAAGATTATTAGGTTTGAATAAAGAACATTCATTCAAAAGTGAGGAAAATTGAGAATTTTACATATACCCACAAAACGCAGTGGTGTCAGAACGGTACGGCATAGTTAATCCGCCACAGTTCCGACTAGGTCGCAATGAATTTTAAGGATTAAAAATGTCTAGATCATATTGTAGTGTTCAAAGTCCAACCCATGCCTCCTCAGGGTTATAAGGGGTGAGTCAAAAACCATATCATTTATGATAATTTGGCCGGTCAACCAATCTTGAGTGTTGTCTTGTTTAACTCTAATTTTATTCCAGTAGGTTAATTAACTTACTCTAATGATCTAAGGTATATAAATTTCAGAAGACACCGTAGCCATATGGAACAATCTCACTTTAACTAATACTTGTTGGGCAAATCATGTTTAACCAGTTGATCCTAGGATAACTCGTTTAAAAATATTCACTTACCAAAAGTTCTAATGATGCTTATATAAAATATGCTATATCTTGAGGTTTACAGAAAAATATTTACTTACATGAATGGGCAAAAGTGTCTATGACTCTAACCTGAGATGGTGCCATGATACCATCTACTTTTACATCCACTTTTACAATTCATATGGTTGTAGAACTCTTTTAACCTGATGTTAGCTATAGCTCGAAATCCAGATCGTTGAAAACAACTTACCGAGTAGGAACTACCTTTTTAAAAAGGTGGATACCATCTATGGCAGAAATCCACTCGTAGTATAACACGAATCTCCGCCTTACCCTCGAGTAAGCTTGTCGACCACTAACCATAACATTAACTCTTCTTCGTGAGTCTTGGCTGGTGAAAAGTTCAATTCCAGTTGATTTAAATCGGAATATTTTGCTTTTAAAACTTCGAACCACGTATTTAACGTTCGGAGATGTGTAAGGTCAGAATCCAACCTAGCCCCTATTCATGCGGAACATCGACTATTCTACGTGGATGCTGTGCTGTACAGTTCGAGAGTGATACCACACGAAACTTGCCCTTACTTTCTAGTAAGCACATCGGCCACTTAATCACTTCACCCTGCTAAGTTCAGAAACGTTTGCACGAAACTCTACTGAATTACGATGCAATAACCTACAGCTTTCATCAGTATAAAGAGTGAAATGATTAGTCTGTACAAAATGGTCGGTCAGTTTGGGGATATCGCCTTCTTCAGAGGTCTTCTGGGAAACTATAGTCAAGGAAGCGAGGATTGACATACCAAACGTCGATGATCCTTAGTATTGTGGTGTAGTACTAAAGTCCATCGATCTAATCCGAGATATTTTGCTTTTAAAACTTCAAACCTGCTGCTTCAAACAGACCTTTGAGCCAAACCTTGCTATTGGGAAAAATTATCTTCCACATGTCATATCTCCTAATACTTCTTATGTAAAGTCAGTTATGTAGTGTGTTTTGTTTACGTCAGGAGAGTGTTAGTAAATTGTAACGACTAACCTATGCCGGCACCATCTGTGGCGGATAATCCGCGAATGGAACTACACGTAACTTGGCCTTACCAAAGAAGAGTCTGCTGTGTTACGATGCAATAACCTTATTCAAATTTATGGAACATTAGCTCGTTTTCCTTTTCTCTGCCCTTTTATTCAAAATAGAAAATAAAATAAAATAATACAATAAAATTACATTTATATCAATAATTAGTTCATGCAATGAAATGATGGACTACATGGAAACTACAGTGAAAACAGCCAGGATAAGTATACCAAAATGATCGGAAACAACCAAACTACGATGTTTCAGAGTGCTTTGTTCCTGGACGTTCTTGAGTCTAAGTTGATCTAAACTAGTCTGCACTTAGAACTTCAAATTTCTCACTCCTTGATTAATAGAGCATAAAGCTCAGGCCACCCTTCTATTTCTTGTTTAGTACGCTTAGTATATTTTAGTTTCATGAAATCATTTATGTCTTAAGGTTTGCTGGCAACGACAGAATATTAATAAATCATAGAGAGTATGCTTCAGTCTGCACCATAATCCGCGAATAGTACCACCTAACACCAGATCCAATCTTGCAGGATTCAGCAACGTCTGCACCAAATTCTGCTTTATTACTGTGCTCTTTAAGGGCATATAAGTGAAATGGTAGTAATAACCAACAACAAATTTGTACTTTGGCTTTTTCCTACCATTTTGGCCTTCGTATTCTCGCTGTTTTGGCGGATTCGGCATGTACCAATATTAAGTGATGGTTTGCCTGGGAAACAACCAAAATCATCAGTCTAAACCAAACTTCGATGTTCCGGAGTGTCTTGTTGGATTATGGTTGTAGTATACCAAAACAGTTTTTAAAACATTAATTTTCAAAAGGTACACACAGATGTGGCATGGTTGTTTGGGGTCATTTTAGCCTACCTATCCTCACTGTTTTCGTCTGTCAGACGGGTTTTGGCTTCATGCCATCAGTGGTGCGTCTCCTAAGAAACTTCAGTAAAACAGTGAGAAGAAGTAGACCAAAATCATCTGAAACGTCCAAACTACATTCTCTCTATAGACCTCTAAATGAAACATCACAAACAATAAATTATAAAAAATACAACTAAGGAGTGAATACTGTTTTGATGCATAAAGAACCAAACAGTACGGTCGAAAACAAATTAATTAATTACAAAATATTCAACTGTTTTGATATGCTGCTTTTCGAAATACCTTTACGCATCCATTGTAGATTTGTTTTTCCTGCCTCCTTGCTCCAATCGATACAGTGGTCTAAAATTTATTAAAACTTGTTAAATTGGAAATGTTTTTCGACTTTTTTCCAAAGGCTTACCAGTAAAATAAGAACTATACAGCAAGCACATCCGTTGTTTCCCATGCCTTACATATTTTATTGGAACCTTTTCAAGTATAAATTTATCCGATAATCTTTGGTGTTAGAGATTAGTAAGAATCATCCTTCATGGGGTTATTTCGGTTTAGATTCATGAGAAGTCCGATGAGGCCGGTTATCAAGTGGTTGATCGTCTTCAGTGACAGCTTCGTTACGTCTGGCTTCGCCTTCGGGCAAAAAAGAATTTGCAAAAAAATTCAAAATTTTCAAAAATTTCCAAACAAACCTCTTCTTCTGTTGTTTTTCCTTCCGGGGCACACCAAATGGTCTGAAACAAGGAAAACCTTTCGTTCAAAGGAATATATCATTATTAATATCAAAGGACAACAAATTGGCAGAAGCAAAGACTTACGCGCACGTAATAAATGAAAATCAAGACAAGTATGTAAGCGGTGAGCGCCTTGGACATTTTATAAAAAGTCCTTTCAAAAGGACTGAGTCCGCTTTTCTGAAGGTGTCTCACTGGGCGGCACGTAATTTCTGTTTTGGTTTTAACGGCCCGACTCGGAAAACGTGACCTACGCCAATCCGAGGTTGTTACATAATCCAATGTTTATTTGATTAAAATGTCGTAGTCGTTTGTAAATACAATAACAGTAGGATAATTTTATGTTTCAATGTTTTTAAACAGGTGGGTTTATTTTTAAAAAATCCAAAATTTATCATTTATCAAAAAATTAATTTTACATAAATGATATTAAAATTTTTTTGTGCTAATAGTTGGCTTAAGGTTTTATAAAATTATATCCAGTTTATCAAAGATTTTTTTTTAAATTTATTTGTTACCTATACAGAATTGTATACTATACAAATATGTACACATTAATGGTAAATCACACAGCACAACACTAGCACTAATGCCAGCACTGCAGCAAGAACACATGCTTTGAGGAGCCAGCCATTGCTGGCACTCATGGTGTATAACTAGGTATCAAGGAGGTCCCGAGGCCATCGTCGGTTGAGGAGACGTGGTGGGTTGTCAGGATGAGAATGAGTGGATAGGGCTCGAGCAGTATGGTTAGGATGGTCCGAAAGGTTGGTATGGAAGGTTTGGAATCTGAACTGGACTAGTTCATTGGCAAAAGGAATGTTGAGGTCTTTGTGGATAGTGAGGTATCAAAGATAAAGCCAACGGGTGACTTTCCAAAAATTCAAGATGAAGTTTTAACCAGGGTGGTCCCTACAAGAGCTGGGGAAATAGTAAAAATTGGAAAATAATAACAATAATTGAAACTCTGGCATAAACATAACATGTAATATCGCAATTCTCGTTCCAAAAACATTTTAAGAACAAATATCACACAAAAATAACAGAAACGAACTGAAAACAAAACATACCACCCACCATACGTTAACTTTCAATGGTTTTATCTGAGTGTCCTGCTCAGATTTGATGAAAATATTAACCTTACCAATGATAAATCAATTAGTAAAGTTTCAAAAATTAAAGATGGAGGTTCAAACTAGGATGCTAATAAATTTCTGCTTTAAAAGCATACCTAAAAGCAGCAAATACCTATTAATAACTAATGTTAAATGTTAAAATAAAAACAGTTAATACATTATAACAGTGAAAAAGAAAACATACTTCCCACCTTCAGTTATCGTGACAAGATTTATTTGTTAAGTGTTGAGCTAAGGTTATATGAAAATGTATATTTATCAGCTGCTTTTATTAAACAGTCTTACGGTCTGTGCTTCATTTGAGAAGCGAAGTTTACATCAGGTATTAGAAAAAAGTGCGTTAAGTTCCAAAAATTTTGGATGATGAATTAAACTATGAGTAGTGATTATTGGGAGATCGTGAGATGCGGTCTGGTGTGACGTAGGTTTTAGAAAAAACATTTTTTTTATCGTGCCAACGTTTCAATCTTTATTGAGATCATCTTCAGGGCCTGGGATTTACAAACATTGTTTAAATTTAACAAATACATCTAGGATCAATCAAGGAAAGCTAAATTGTTGAAAAATTAGATTATGTAGAAATGTTTGATGTGTGAATGTGATGATTGTTTTATATGTTATATCATATGTTTTGTGTGATGTGATCATGAGATATGTATGTAATTGATATTGAATTTGACTTCCTTCCCCACTCCTTCAAAATCCAATGTATATAAACATAAAACAGCAATATGTCATTGGCCCTCTCAATACGACACACAACAATGGCACATTTACGCAGAAACAAACACTTTAAGTGAGTAGATATACTTTGATTGAATATAAAAAAGGTTTTTTTTGCATTGTATAAATTCACCCTTTTTCCACATCCTACATGTATTTGTTAAATTTAAACAATGTTTGTAAATCCCAGGCCCTAAAGATGATCTCAATAAATATCGAAACGTTGGCACGATAAAAAAGATGTTTTTCTAAAACCTACGTCACACCAGACCGCATATCACGATCTCCGAATAATCATCGACTAACGGTCACTAATCACTATGACTAGTATTACAAAAAACGAGTTTAGGCTTTATAAAAATTAAATAATTAACGATAATGTATAAAGAAGGACAACCAGGGAGCAAAATTAAATTGCACATAAAAAAGCATACCGCCCACCATTAGTAAAAACTTAGCTTTTACCCATTTTTTTAAACAGTTCGATTGTTGTTGTCAAACTTATGGCTGGTCAAAAATTGATCTTATTTTTATATTTACAGATAAGGTTTATGAAATTGTATAAAAAATATTATCGAGAAAAACCAACAAGCGAAATTCTAAAAACAATAAATTGAGGTTTAAACCAGGCCGCAAATAGAGAGTAGTGAAATACGAAATATTGGTAGTTTAAATATTTACATTGAAATTATCAATAAATATTCGAAAACAGTTTAAATCAAAAACACAGAAAAAGAAAACACATCACCGACAATCTCTCAACTTGACAAGGTTTTTACCTATACCAAGGATGTATAAAGAAGGAATTCTAATAACCAGGGAGCAAAATAAATTGCACATAAAAAAGCATACCGCCCACCATTAGTAAAAACTTAGCTTTTAACCATATATATTATATATAGTTTTTATTTTATTTATATATATATTTTTTAAATTGAAATGAAGTTTTAGAAAAGTAGACATTTTTTTTACTTTAGGACGACCGTATGATATACTCAAAATTCAAGATGATTTCATTTAGGGTGCTTAAAACTAGGAAACTAGTGAAGCGGCTAGGCAAGCTAAACAACTTATTTAGTAAAGCAGTCCTCTTTCGAAAGGGTTAATAATTAATAATAATTAATAACCAGCGATAAAAGCTGACGAGTGGAAAACTTAAAATTCAGGGAGAAAAAATTAATACACGGTTAACGACTAAACATATCACCCACCATTAGTAAAAATGAGCGTCTTTAACGCTTTGACTTAAGATCCGATTTATGTTGTCATACGTATGATTAAAATGGATAACGTGACCAAATTTTCATGTTTTTGACTGAGATTAAGTTGAGGAAAATTTAATAAATTGGTTAACGATAAAGCTAGCGTGTGAAATTAAAAAAAAAAAAAAACAGAATGGTCGATCGAACCAAGACATTTAAAAGAAATTGCCTCTTTGAAATGAGTCGAGCTTAGGTTCCGTGAAAATAACCTGTAGTTATTAAAGCTGATTGAGATGTACCTCCTACCATTTGGCAAAATGAAATGTTTTTAATTGTTGCTGGCCACCTTATCGCTAAAATCAGGGTGAATTGTTTTTATGCTAACAGTTGGTTTAATGTTTTATACAATTATATTAATTTTGTCATCGGCAGAAGCCAACAGCAAACGTCATTGGTTTTTGGAAGAGGAACATAATTGAAGTAGACTGTAGTAGATGTGATACGACGAAGGGTGAAGGTTATTTGCTGGTATTTGGTTTCGCTGAGTCTGATCCTTCATTTCTCTAAACAAATTAAGGTTTTTTTAAGTCTACTGGATTAGAGTTTGCTGAAAGGACGGGGTAGTCTGCAGTGTATACGGTGTAGAGAACCGGTCCAAGGAAGCTGCCTAGCGGAACACCCGTCATAGGGGATGGGTGATTTACACTTAAAAACTTATTCTCAAAGACTTGTTATTTGAGCAATTCAGAAAATTGCGGAACTGTTGACGATCAGAGTACCAATCCATTTTTAGTCTTGTCATACTAATCCAACGTCAGGAAGATAATTTAATAATAATAACAAAAACAATATTGTCTTTTTGCTAAAAAAATTATGTTTGTCACCAATTTTTCCAAACATTTACCGATGTTATTACATCGGTTTTGGCCAGATCCTTGAATGAACGTCCCTCGGGGGCGTTTTGGAGGGAGGAGACGTTTTAAAAATCATTCGAGGATTCTTAAACCTCCGAAGAATGACACAAGATGAACGCCGTCATCACGATTGCATTTTTGGCCCTGTTCAATGTAAGTCCGTACATACTGATAGTTTTTTTTTTGTTTGGCGAAACTGACAAACTTGCAAATTGCAGGTGATCGAGTCTAAACATGTGGAAAATACTAAAGGAAGGAGGATTATGGAAGTAAGAGTTTATTATTTTTACAAATTAAAAGTATATGTGTTTTAATGATATATAATATCAACATTTTTAAAATATACATTTAATTGAGCCCAAAGTGAAAAATATCTAATTCTAAATACTAGTATTTATAAATCGTGCACACTGGATAATTTCTTGAACAGTGTTGCATCACATTTTTCTCTTAAACGTAGAAACTTAATTTGAGCATAAACCTACCTATCTAACCATTTTTATTTTATCGTACCCATAAAATTTAGTTATAATCTGTTGTGAGAAATTTAACCGTATGGTTCGAAGTTGATGTTTTTTCTGTAAGACCATCCTGGAATTTTTTTAAGCATATTTTAACATACAAAAGACATAATTGGTAGATCTATGGAAAATCTGGACGAAATCACCATCCAGGTCCAAACGTTAAGGACCACGAAAAGGTTTTATTCAACTTTTTGAAGATTCATTCACTAGATTTGGCCAAATTTTGTATAATTCTTGCGATGATCAATCATACATTTTGTCATATAAATTGATGGTCAAGGTACGTTTTGAGCAGAAAATACCAGTCGATTTTTGCAACTTGTCACAATTGTTTTTGATTTAGATTTCATCCTAAACTTAAAAGTTAGACAAAAATTAATGAGAAATTTGACCGCAAGGTTTGGATTTTTTTTAATGTAATACCAATGCATTTTAAGCAAATTTTTTAAAAGTCGCGCTAATACATCGTGAATTTTATTTTTACATTTAAAGCATTTATTGAGCATCCAATTTTGATCTCAATTGTCAAATTTATTAACCATTTTTATTTGGCGTTATCCTTAAAATTTAGACAAAAACTATTGGAAAATTTGGCTGCGAAGTTCGAACGGGATTTTATTTACAAGAGCATTCTGTAAAGTCCTTTCTATACATAAACATACATATGAGAAAATATGATCGTAAAATACCATATGGCAGAAATTTAATGGACAAAATCACCAGCGAGGTACGTAAAAAAAAGACTTCCATTTTATCCACTGAGACAAACCTGATTGGATAAAACTTCGCAAATTATTCAGATATTTTGAGGCGATATAACCCGATTTTTTGCTTATATTTTGAGATTGACCGACCAAATTTTACCTAACTTGTCAGATTTACTAATTATTTTGATTTGATTGTATCCTGCCTTTGTTGTGAATTGAATTTCAAGGTTTTTATATATCACTTGACCTGGTTTTTTACCTAGTATAAGAAAACAATAAGCAGAGTCGTATTAAAATAGATTTCCTGCATATACATTATATATAGAGTATGATTTAATTAATTAAAATAATTAATACAGTTATTATGACTGCTAAATACATATATGGAGTATATAAAAACTTAAAAAACAAAGGAATTTGAAAAAAATGGATTCGTTTTAAGCACCTTTTATAGCCATTGAATATGAAGTTTTATGGCAAATGAAGAATAAACAAGTTTTGACAGGATTCGCCAGAAGAAATTTTTGTTCTCTCATGCCTTGTATTCCACTTAAAAATTCATAACTCTGCTGTATTTCGTGTGACGTTAACTTTATTGTTAACTATTGGAAAGCGGAATATTTCTTCTTTTAGGCTATTGCAATAAGGTTTAAATCTTTAGTCTTTTCAGGTAGGAAAAATAAGGATAAGATGAACAAAACCTCTTCAAACATAGTATTTTTTATCGTCTGTTTTATTTATTTATCGAAGCCAGGTTAGTGCGATTGCACGTAATTTATAGGCTGAAAACGTCTGAACGTTTTCTGATTAATCAGTGGGGTCATTTCAAATTTATCAACATTTTTTCTGTTTTTGACAAAAAATAGAATGTACTGGGAGGCGAAAAAATATTTTTGAATTTTCAAAAATTGAATGTAGGTGGTTTCAGGTGTGCAGAAAACGAATATCCACTTTGTTTCTTTCTTACAAAAAAAAAAAAAAAAAAAAAAAATTGACCTACCTTCGCAAATATTGTATTTCAATATCAACGATACCCAGCCTATGCCTGGCTACCAAATAAAATTTTGGGTTATGGACCAAAAAAGATTGAAAGGCTAACTTTGTGATTTGGTCATTGTTAACTAATGATTATAACCCATTTATTAATTTTAGAATATAAAATCAGTTTTAACTGCCAAATTAAAAAAAAAAAAAATTACGGCTTTCAGTTTAAAACCATTTAAACTTTATTTAAAGCTAAAAAATAACAATTTTTCAGTATGTGAGTAAATTTATAAAAGATGAAAATATCGATTACTAACTATATTTTTTATTTATAATTTTTTTTAAATGTTTCAAAATGAACTGGTCAGGTAGTAAACGGGTTTTGTGAATCAACAGTTGTTTCATTCAACCAGTTTATTATTAGTATGTAGGTTAAAAATTGTAAATGGAAATGTTTATTTTCTTATGTTTTGTTATTCTTGTTTGTTTTCTGCAGCACCTTCAAACGGCGTCGTCCTTTTTTGTAAATTTAAATTGTCATTTAATATTCTAAAGTTATTTGTCGTTTTACAGGAGAGTCCTAATTCGAGACCAAACGTCGTGATGCAGTCCGTCGTCCTCGGGAAGAAAAAAGAAAAACAGCGAGACGAAACGTTAGCGAATCCAGACCAGATGCTCGGGAGATTGGCCGAAATGCTGACCGAGGAAGACAGACCCGGGGGAGACGGCCGCAACTGTCTGTACAGGCTGGAGAAAATCCTCAACAGAGTTAAATCAAAGATATTAGAAGATTACGGCTTCGTCGAATCGCCGAGATATAGAAAATACAAAGGAAATAGATACAACTACGATCCATGCGAGGATTACTACATGGACGAGTACGAACCGGATGACCTGGACGAAAGGTTCCCCCCGAAAACGGCTAAATACGCAAGCGTCGATTATGATGACGATTATGAAATAAGACCGGTCAAATACAGTTACCCTGGAAAAAACGTCTACAAATATCCAAAGTTTGCCGACAAAATCTTAGTCAAAAGACAGAATCCATATAAGTGGAGGAAACAAGAAATACCATGCGATAGAAGTACAAAAGACATCCTTTACATACCTAATTCTGTTGTATCTAAGTTTCAAGATGATGTAGTGTAGTATGACTGTAAATATATTATTCTAAATGTTTGTAATAAATTTGTTATTATTTATATATTTATATTATTAAACGGATACCTAAAAGAAAACAGTATATTATAGATCCTATCCTCAATCTTAATCCTAGACAATTAATTTTAGATAAAGTAGACTTTATTCTTTCAGCGAAGGCTGTAAGTAGTGGAAAGTTCGAACCTTTTCTGTTAATTCCTCCGCCCCACTCGGCCGCTAACATCTCTCTCTGGTCACATAATGGAATGCTCTTTTAAAGGAAATCATAAATACTGAAACATATTATTTTAGGTAATTCGTGTAATGATAATTAAAAGTATAAATTGGTAATAAAGGAAAGGGGGCCAAAATTCAGCTAAGATGTCTTCGAAAACATCCACATTTCTTGCCGTACATGACTGCCGCCACATAAATTCGCATAGATAGGAGTCTAATGAACTTCGGCGGGTACCCCACTGCCATTTGTTCCTCGCCTTTGCTTTTCCCCATATGTATGTGCAGGGTGGTCGGGTCGGTAAAATTGAGAGAGTGGTTCACTGTCATATGACGGAAACTAGGATCCTGGGTCAATGTTTCATATGCCTTCCACTGATAGAAGATGGCGGTTGATCTGTCCGTAATGGTGACAAGAAAACTTTCCTTCGTTTCGCGGCAAATGCCACCAAAACCCACTGCTGTGGTAAGATTCTGCCGGTGTTGTTTTTCCGGCGAGAAACCAGTGATTCATCAATTTCCACAGTGCAATTGGGGTCACGAATGCGCGAATGTCAGCGCAAAACAGAGTTCGCACATGCTTCGTGCATATAGTTTCAGCAAGTAACGAACTTGTTATGATTTACACTTAACTCTATTTCAGACTTGAGCCAGTTAGATAAATGTTACTTATTAACGCCATCTCCGCCTTGCATCTACGTTTGTAGTACCTCCTCTTGTCACGAGATCCTGCCAAATGGCGTCGTGTCTTCCTGTACATCGCACAGCTAGTGGAAGAACTCCCTTTCCTGAAGGAAACGAACTGCCGTTTCCTTGGTTTTGACAGCGTCGTATAGTGCGAGAAAGTGCATTTTTTATATAACACCTAACTATACATCTTGACTCAAAACATAGGATAAGAGCGGAAGCCCAGAGACCTGGGCTGTGTCTCGATCTCTGTCATCGAGCGGTCGAATGAGGCGGAGGCACATTAACGGAATAGGTTCGAAAGTTTCTATACCTATAACTTTATACAGTTATTAAGAAAACCGTTTGTATAATAGACAAAATTGGTCGTTTCCGATAGTCCATACACCGCATATCTTTAAATTTTCACAGTATTCGTCCCTCAGGTTTCATCAAACCTATCCATCCTCAGAAACGCATCTGAAAGACCGTAAGCGAGAACAGCGGTTCAGAATGACAAAAAACGATATAAACAGGTCCATTACACCGCAGACCTCAAAGAAAAGTATCAAAATTTACAAACTTGACGTCAAATTGTATTATTTTTTGGGAGGGATAGATAGATAGAGATTAAAAAAAATGATTGAAACTGATCTTATTAGACCAACCATTAATCTTTCAATGATGTACCTAGAATAAATAAATCTTGATTTATCAAGAAACCCTTGTTACAATTAGATTTACACTTCACTATTCACAAATGTTTAAATTACACTAGTTCATATCGCATTGTTGTTGTCACCCTTCTGACTGTTCGATTGTGTAGTAGTTCCACATTCTCGTGCTGTCTGGGGAGAGACTGGTGTTGGTGGCTTCTTACCTCAGGGATCTTAAGATCCCCACGTAAGTCCTTTTTCTTTAGGAACGTTGATATTAAGGTGCATTGACCAATGCAAGATTTTATTTTGGAGTGTGTACAATTTCGGTATTGGTGTGTTTAGAACAACCCCATAGTTGAATACCATATGTCCGCTTAAGTATTGTATAATAACATTTTATTTTGTATAGTAAAGTTGGAGCATGTCCTATCAACCAGTATACATAGTTTCTATACCTTAAACCTATTTCTATCCTTATTGTTCTTCAATTGCTCTTTTCATTTCACTTGGCATCTAAGGTCATACCCAGATATTTACTTGTATCGCATGATAGTTCAATCGATGTGAGTGATGGAACATGGTCCACTTTTTTGTTTGTAAAATTTATGTGCATAAGCTAACTGAACCTGATTTTCGTTTTTTTGACCCTCTTGCTACAAGCTTTTTGAAGGATTTTGGAGAAATAATTAATGGTCGGTCCTACTGATATCACCGCTTTTTCATCTGCAAACGTTGCAGTTAGTACTCCATCTATATTCGAAAATCACACGTGTATAACAAGTAAAGCAGTGGGCTTAAAATATTACCTTGTGGCACTTCTGCATTATTGTTTTTAATTCTGAACATTGGTCTCTTGGTTTGACTTTAAATGTCTGTCAATTAGGAAGGACATAGGATAATGTCTGTATACTGCTTTGGTAGCATCTCTCCTTCATACTAGATCTTGTCAAAAACTCGTGAGACGTTAGGAAGATAGCAGAATGTTTTCTTTGAATGATTTTTCTATTAAGTATGTTACTCTGTGAATTTATTCTATTGTTGAATGTCTTGTTTGGAATCCAAATTGGCGGTCCTAGGGATGATTTTTTATATGTAATGGTTTTATTCTTTTTAGTAATAACTTTTTGAAAAGCTTAGTGACTGTCGGTAGTAGAGATCTTCATCTACTCTATAAGATTTTTCCTTGCTCGCTGGTTTTCCTCGTTTTGTTTTAATGATTTCTGCAAATTTGCATATGCTGGGAACTTATTTTAGTCTGTTGGCAGCAATAAAAAGGTATTGACGAATGTAACCCCTTTTTCGGCATTTTTTACAAAACCTTTTTCTAGTAATAAGTTCATATCCTAGAGTCTTTTAAGCAGGTAAATTTTTAATTTCTTGTGCTATTTCTTTAGATGTAACTAACTTAATATTTTCTTCCTGTGGAATGGTAGTTACTTCTTTGAATCTTTTTATTTGGTTTCAAAATTTCAAACAATTAGGCTTTTTCTCTGCTGACTCTCGCCTATGTACCATCTCCTTTTTTTAATGGAGGAATTCGGGCAATTGGTCTTTTAATGTTTTTATCGCCTTCCATAGCGAGTAGTCAATGGCTTTGCGTTAGATCTTTTAGATAATTTCTGATTGAGTCGCCGTGTGTTTTTTTAGTTAGTTAGTTAGAGAGAGAGAGAGAGAGAGAGAGAGAGAGAGAGAGAGAGAGAGTGAGAGAGAGAGAGAGAGAGCAAAGAAATTCGTATCTATTAACACACAACTTATATGAGACCGGAAAGTCGATGAAACTATTTTTCTAAATTTCGTTCATATCCTCATCATATTTATTTTTACTTATTTTCTAACATCGTTGAACGTCAAAGAAACCTAAATCGTCTTTTTTCGGTCCCTGATATCAAGACTATTTACTCAATTACGTGTCCAAAAGGAGGAAATTGTCCCCTAAAGACACAAACCAAAATGCCCACAGCTTGACCGTCTTTCAAAACCCAAATATCACGGACTGGTCGGCGTCGCGACAAATAAGGAGATCCAACATTGAAAAAAACCACGGTAAAACAAAAATGAAATACGTTCGGGCAATTTTTTTTCTTTTAATATCCAAATACAAACAAAGCCAAATTCGATCCGGCGGTTACCTGTCTTATCTACAGACAAAGTTTTCTTGGGCGCTGCTAATTTCCATAGCACCAATCTTGAAAAATGATCCAGCAGAAGAAGAACCTAATTTATATTGCCTATTTGATAGCAAAGGTAAAATTTTACCATAGACTCCTAGTTTCTTTTAGATTGAAGACGTTTGATTCTATTTTTTTTCTTTTCTTCAGATTGCACTGGTGACATGTTACACTAACAAATTCAACCCAGTAAGTACTCCTTCTGCCACTTTTTCGTAATGAAATATGTTACATGTACAGCATTGACCGTTTTATACAATATTGTTAACCAACCCTGATAAGCCGAAATCATAAATCTATGCTTAATTTTTACGGGAAGAATGTTATTTTATCTGCTGGTGTTTAGTGTTTTTTAATTTTTATTATTAGTGTTAAACACTACTAGTGTTTAGTACTAATAATACTACATAAAATCTACCAATTACAAACCAACCAACATAAATTTCCATGCCATTCATTCACGCCCTATCACATAAATTTCTCTCTTCCGATAACTTTAAAATAGCTTTCAAAAACTATAAAACAATTCACACACGTTTTTCCAAAGTTACAGATCCCACACCAGTAACAAAAAAATCTGACGTAATTTACAAATTAATTGTTTAAATTGTCAGGCAACTTACATCGGTATTACATCCCAATTTCTGGATAAGAGAATAAAGCAACATATCCATGATTGCAAAAAACCCAAACAAAATCCTAACCACCATTTTGAACAGAAACACAATTTCGGCTTCAACAATCCAAACATATTACCCACTGAAGAAAACAAACATAAACGTAACTTTTTAGAAATGGTTTACATCAACAGGGATAAACACAGCATCAATTAGAGAACAGACACATGAAACTCAGTAGCAACTACGCTAATATCATTAATTCAATATCGATAACATACATATATCATCATCATATCACACAACATATAATATAGCATATTAAAACAATCAACACATTCCACACTTCAAACGTTTCTACATAGTCTAATTCTTCAATAATTTGGCTTTCCTTTCCCTAATTATCCACGTCTATGTATATAATCCTAAAAGGATAATCAGGACGAACCATTACCCACGTTTTTTCTTATTGTCGGCACCTTTCGTCTCAAAGAGGCCGACTCTTATATAAAAATGTCTTTCTATCCCGACTTCCTTCCCCACCCCCTTCAAAATCCGACGTATATAGACATAAAACATCATATCTCACTGGCACTCTCCACACGACACACAAAATGACACATCTACACAAAAAAAAAAAAAACACTGAGGGAGTACAAATACTTTGATTGAATCTGAAATTTCTAGCATTGTTTAATTTTTTTCACATCTTACATGTATTTGTAAAATTTAAACAGTGTTTATAAATCCCAGGCCCTGAAGATGATCTCAATAAAGATCGAAACGTTGGCACGATAAAGCAAATGTTTTTCTAAAACCTAAGTCACACCAGACCGCATCTCACGATCTCCAAATAGTTAATTTATCTGTTTGACAACGCTACACGAAATTAGATTATATAATGCTAATTCAGCCCAATCAGCATTTTTTTTATTTTACTCATCAAAACTTTTTGTGTAAGTGAACTGTACCAAATAATAAAATAAAACAATGAAAGAAATTCAAAAACAATTTATAAAATTAGTAAACATTCTAAATGTTAAGACCGTGTCAAAATGTCAGACTAAATTCAGTACATAAGTAATCACGGAAATATCTGATTATTTCAAGGTTTAGAAAATTATAAATTTGGTTGTTACCAACCTTCCTGGTCTGCCTATCACAGCTTTATATGACGGACGCCTTTCAGTATTTCACCATGTCCAATGTTGATTCAAAGTGCAAGTTGTACATAAAATAACCACTTCCTAGACTATGGAACGTGTATAAAGTCCAAAGTTGGCTGGTGAAGTAGAGGTGCACAATAAATATTTTAGCCCTAGGTGCAAGAGACTATTTGACCCCAGTTCTATTCCTTTACATATCATCAATTTCTACTTATCCGAGTAGTTATGTTGTTAGGTAGGCGAGTAGGTACAGTAGGCCTGCCAATCACAACTGTATTGGTCAGTTAGATGTGTTTGGAGGGGGGGGCGTCGGTGGCCGCAACGGTTTAGGCGTGACACGGTGAAGGTCGTGGGTTCGAATCCAGCGGCCCTGCATTCTAATCTGACATGCTTTTCTTCAAAAACACCGCCACCCCGAGGGTTGACATAACCTCTGCGAAAAAGATGTGTTTTGGCATTTCACCGTTTGAGTCTGGCAGGTGTATGAATATGTTTATATCAACATTTACATCTATGTGCTTATTGAGTTTTGGCCTTATTTAATAACTGGTTAAAACTAATAATTTGAAAAACTTAAAAAAATGAGCAAAATATTTGTCATTTGTATCGAAAAAGACACCACAATTTGTAATTTTTCTGAACGCAGCAATAAACAAAAAACACTTTTGAACGCTTTTTAATTTATCTGGAAAATGTTTTTAATAATAAAAGTTGTATTTTTAATTTTAATTTATGCTAATTAATTTATAATATGGCAAATAACAAAGCATGGCTGATAGATTGAAGTAAAATGAAAAGTATTAGTAGGTAAATCACAAATCAATCAAATTAACCTAAAACAATTACCTATTTAACGAATCATTTGAATTTGTTTCAGTGTGACATTTACTGCCCGGATGTACATGTTGAGACGTGCACACCAACGTACCATTGCACGACTCAGACGTACGACGTCCCGAGGTCCGGTTGTTATAGATGCTGCTCACCTCCGTTGCCGGCCGCTTCGCATGTATCTCCTTGCTACCCATTCCAATGTCACATGCCCCATTATCCACCACATGCCGTAAGTCGAGAATTTAGATTAAGTGATTTTTTCCCCCCAACTAATTGAGTTTTTTCAGAATCATCCTGCCCCAGCTTATTGTGTGCAGTCCGTAGTTGTCGGTGGTACCAAGCACGACCTCCATGACACCAGTAAAACCAATAAGACTAGTCATTTAAAACAATTAGATGGTGATAAAAGTATAATCTTGAATTGTAATTGTAATGGTAAAAATGATGGAAACTTAGAACCGAGCGATAGTTCTGTACAAAGCAGGATTGTCGACTCAAAGGATACACCTAACAACAATGACCGGTATTAAACTGATTTACTATTTATTATTTATTTCCATATAAACATTTAATTTAAAAAATTCTTTTTAGTTATGAGAAGTATGTAGAAAAACTTTTAAATATGATCGAGGATAAGCTTGAGGCTGAGTCGAGCCCAATGGTAGTTGTCGCGGAACCACCTCCAGAGGTTCGGGTCAAAACTTTAAGAAGAAAAAAGCAGAAAAAGTACAAATTGGCATCGTACGAAGCAGCTGAGCCAATCGTCATGGTCGAGGAAGAGGAAGAGCCATCCTACATCCTTCACCCAAGGCCTTCCTGCAGGCACTGCCTGACCAGTTGCTGCTGCTGCTAGTTTATTGTTCCTTTATTACTCTTAATATTAAATTAATGTTTCCTAGCAGTCAATAAAATTGTATTTTATATTTTAATTATACGAATTTAAGCATAAGTAATTATGTTAATTTTGCCCTTTTTGTTCTGCTCTTTGAAGTAATCATTAATTAAACATCAATAATAAAAAACCGTTTATGTTTGAAATAAAGGAAAAATATTATTGTTGGCATCTTTTGGCAGTGGAGTTTGCAAAAATTATCTTCCATCAAGTAAGCTGTACTATTGTTAATAATAATAAAATAATTAATTACTTCGAAACATAGTAAATTCAAGAAATTTTTCTCTTAAATGATAGAAGAATACAGACGGTGCCATTTTGCGGCAGTCCGTTCGATTTTCTTCTATCTAGTGGCATTTCATCAAACCTTGAGCCATTCAAACTTTTATATGAATTGAAATAATTAAATTTAAGGACAAAATTTTTATATTTATGCTTAAATATTTATTTATTTGTAATGTTTTAGCTTATTTAATTTTATTTGCAAGTTTATCCATTCTTGCTAATTTCTTCCTTTTAATCTTTGTCTTGGAATAACCTAAATATACAACGCAAATTGATGTCAATTTCAACTCCATACACCTGTTGATATTGTCAAATAGTAGAAATATCTCGAAATTTAATATTTTTGGCTGGTTTTATATTGTCTCACTGAAAACTAAATTCATTGTTGATGATGGACTGATTCCTCATTGAAGATGGAATAATAAAACTCAAAATCCCGCGAGTGGTGACCGACCCAGTAAGTGATCATGGTTCAACATAAATTCACTGACTTGACTTTTGCCTTCTATGTAACACTAGGGTCATTGATGATTTGTTTTACTTACTTGATATCCAATATTAGATGTAACTTGTTTGCTCCACCAATGCTGCAGTTTTCTATCTAGAAGTGAATAATCATCGAAGTAAATTCTGTATCGATCCCACTCATAGAATAATGTCGATATGCATGGCAATACAGGTATGAATTTGCCATCAAATTATTATTGTTACAAGTAACTTAATGAACGCCTATGTACTGAAAAATGAGAGATAGTTTTTAGTTGAATTAATAATGACAAAGCATTTACATCATTTATAATCATCATAAATAATCATTTTGCAAATGTGTAAGGTATTTGTGTGTCTTATTATAGAAGTTAGTTAGATTTTGGCTAGATTATATTTTGCATACGTTGGCTGCCCAAATGATCTAACTGTTCAAAATCCCTATCGGAGCATAACCCTTTTGGTGGGGAAGAGGCGTCTCCTAGGCATAACTGGGATACTAGAGACCCAAGCACATAAGCGGCAGGTGAACACCCCTGAGGTATAGACCCTAGGGTCAGCAGAGAGAGAAGTTGATGATTGAAGTTCACCCTTCGGGGTGAACGTCCCTGTATTGAATTTACAATATCATTAATGAACAGTGAAAAAAAGTTGTGGCCATAGGAGTTACCCCTTCTTCACACCCATTTTTATAATAGTTTCCCGGCGTTTCCTCTTCATATGCAATACAGAACCTGTCGTATTTGACAAAAGTACTTACAAACATTTGACAGGGGGCGTCGGTGGCCGCAACAGATTAGGCGTTGACACGGTGCTTATCACTGTAAGGTAAAGTTCCCGGGTTCGAACACAGCGATCCTGCATTCGAACCAGACATACAATGGGCAAACAACACTGGTTTTTCAAAAACCCCGGCACTCTGAGGGTTGATATGACTTCTGCTGTTGCGAACCCTAACAAAAAAAAAGTTAAACGATGTCAAATGCAGCATCTAACAATAGATTAGAATGTATAAAATACACAGCATACAACTTTTCACTTTTAAAATTTAATAAAACTCGGAGATATAAACCACAATGTTTAACTTGGTGCAGATACTGGAAGGCCCAAATGGCTATAATTTTATGGTTATTCACCCTTTATTGGAAACTATTCGTCTTCTCGACCCCACGGGTTAAATTAAACCGGTTAAAATTCTAGTTCATTGGACAGTAATGGGCTTTAAACTTGATCTAAGGCGGGATTAAACGACGGAGACAATTGAAAATTTTGATTTGTAGAGTCCAACAAAGTAGGACGTAAAAGGGAAAGTGTGTCATAAATTCAAATTACAATATACGGCGGAACGGTTTCCTTTTCGTGGGAAAAGGCGCCTCTGGAAGGCTTCCCAATTATTGTTTTTCCCCTCTCGGATCGCAAAGTGAATGGAAGCAAAAACGGTAATACAGGCGGTGTCCGGACCAGGGTAGGAAATAATGAATAGCGAGGGTGGAACCTAATCACAGGTTATTCCGAACCAGGAGGGAGGATGAAAATAATAAAACAGTTCGCCCACGCTGTTCGGAATCCCTCGTGTACGGCCACCTCGAAATTAAATGGGCTGCTCACGAGCCAATGGGTTTTTTTGTACCCTTAGGTACCATTAATTCATGTCCTCGTAGATTATTATCCAAGACGCCTTCCAGAAAAAAATACACTTCCTGCTAAATACGACAACATAAAAAAACCAATCAGAATATACACATTACATTAGATTGCATTGGATCATATATAAATTGACATAACAGGGTTATTAATAAATTCCGCAGAGAAGATAACATTTTTCTAGTAAAAGATCTATAGCAATTCCCTGAGCTTTAAAACTCTGCCGATGTCAACTGCAGCCTAGGAATTTATTAAAAAAACAAAAACAAAAAAAACAGGGTTTTAAATTTATATAATGGGCATGCTCTACTGCATGATCAACCGAAATTCCAAACTAAAGCCAGAATTGGGTCTCCTGCTCTACAATCCATAACACCTTTGGTGCTCTACGGTTGCGAGGTATGGGCTTCCAGGTGGATGGCTTCCACTTCAATACTAAAAGAGATCCAAATCATGTAAACAAAGTACTTCGGATACGTACGGATGTAGAGTGGTTTGTCTGGAATGCCCAGCTTTACCACGAGTTTCAACTGGAGAGCATCGACACATCAGGACGAGGTTTTGAATGTTTTACCCAAAACTCCCCCATGTGCAGAGAGCAGTCCACTTCAACCTAGGCAGCACGGTGGCCTCCCGTCTAAGACCAAGAACTTTGCAAGACATCTTGGGGTGATATGTAAAAATGTCTGTGATAGGTGATATTTCCTGGATATGTGGTATTTTCTATGATATTTAAAGTTATAATGTAAATGGTAGTATAAGTGTTTAAGTTGTTACAAAAGCTGCTAATGCAAATGGGCTGCTGCGGAGCAATATCACGGACACATGCCATTATAAATCTCTTCAATCTCAGAAGCGATAAGTAAAACAAAGTAATTGTTGGGCTAGTGAAAATGAAAAAAAAAAAATAAAACGCAACGGCCACATTAGATACATACCATCGTTTTATTTGGTATAATATTTCTATAGGCACAATTCACAGCCTGTTTACAACAATAGTATTAAAAAATCAGTGAGAATTAAAAATAGCAATGGTACAAAATTATTATTTTGTATAAAATATAAGCTGTACACTTAAATAATAAAGCCAGTCGAATAATACAAAAATAAACAAAAAACTCAATGTCAAAACAATAATGGTTTAATTATGAGGAATGTACATTAATAAAAAATTATATAAATAAAATTTACATAGTGCATCAGGATTTTGTTTAGTGACTAGTTGTGAATACGTTTCGTAGCAGTTCAGATTGAGAGGCAGCGCAGCTTTTTCATCTTGATCGTCGAGACGAATTTGATGGGTGGAAAGGCGTCGTTCTCCAGGTCTTCTGGGGCGACTGGACTCGGCAGGGGCTTGGCAGGCCCCATTAAAGTCTCGAGGGGGAGGCCGCGTTCTCGTATTTCCATCCGGACGATTGACTCTAAGCCGAAGAGATGAGGGTCTTCGACGTCGGGCGCCTGGTTGCGGACGAACTCCGCCAGTCTGAAGAAAACAACAAAAAACGTATAATTTATAGTGAAACAAGGCTACTTTCTTACTACTTACCTAAGTAGGTATTCGACGTTGTGACCACTCGGCCCGGAGGAGTGGAGGATGTCTTGGGCGATTTCGTAATCGGACGCACTGCCTAGCCAATTCGAACTATCTGGTGTGGCCATGTAAAGAAGGACGAGGAACGGCTCTCCTTCTTCGGGGTGGAACCAGCTGAAAGCCGTTCTGTACCCGCCTAACTTCACTTCCCTCTCGTTCAAATATGGAATCGCATCTGAATCCTTCACTTCATACGCTACACCCCATACTTCCGCCTGAAAAACGAACAAAATGCTTAGTTGTAATGGAATTTAAATAAAGCAACAATAAAAAATCCAGATTATGTTAAAAAAACGAACGACTGATGTTAAAAATCACTTCTTGTAAGGAACTAATCAAGTCTTTTTGGTTGTTTCTTGTATTTTCAGCCTTATGTGATGAATCCTAATCAGATGTTTGTCCACGAAAAGTCCAAGAAAACGCAAAGGATCAGTGGAAGTGATGTTACTGGAGTTCAGATAGATTAACTCAATGTAAAATTTATCAAGGCTTTATTACTAGGTTTTCATTTTTGATTTTGTAAACCATGTCTTTACTTCAGATTTGTTGTATGGTCGAAATGTCAATGTGCGTATAGTGTATATTGTGAATTGTATATTGTAAAAAGAAATGGGCAAAGAATGCCTCCCTGAGGGACATCTGCTCTCATCCGTAAGATAAACTAGGACTGGCAACTTGTTTTCTGAAGTCGGTAAAATACAAGTCGGCGTCCCACAAGGGAGCATTCTTGCTCCCATCCTTTTTATCATTTATATCGCTGACCTACCTCGCAAATTTTCTCCTCTAACTCGAATCCTATCCTCGAATACCTTCAGTATCCAAGAACACCTTGAGTTTATCGTAGATTGGTGCAAAAAGTGGAGGACAAGACTGAATGAAGAATAATATACTCAGTGTAGGTTCATATTGAAAAAAAACAGTCTTGCCCGCTACTCTACATCCACAACTAAAAAATAACTGATTTCCATTTAAGTCAAATAATTAAAATAATACCTAGACAGAAGACTGGTGTGGACTCCCCACAAAAGACTTAACAAAGAACAGAAAACTTCGACAACTACCAATACTTTTAAGACCCAAATCTGTTTGGTCTGTCAAATCTGATCTAACCTTAACAAGATTTTACTGCGAACAATTTGGACATAGGGAGTGAAAATGTGGGGTTTTGCCATGCAACATCCAAAGCATCCAAACTTTCGAAAGAAAACCCTTAGACAAATCATCAAACCTCCACTGTGCATAGTTCATGTACAGGATAAAAAAAGAATATTATTATTTAAAAAAATCTATAACCGTCATTAACTTAATTAATTATAGACATACAAACAGATTAAATGAACAAACTCTGCAAACTCATCTTTCACAACTTTATTATATGTAAAACAATATCAATCAAGGGAAAAATGATTCGGGGGTCTGGTTTAAACTTTTGTTGAATATCTAATTAATTTTTTTATAGTTTGAATTTATTTTAACGGGTTTTTGTTGTTTTGTAGGAGCTTCGTTTCTACCGAGACGACAGATGTTCCATTTCCCTGGCAGTACCATTCTTCAGTTCGATTGGGGGGAAAAACTTAGGATATTTGACTTCATTTGAAAATTTAGGAAAGTTTGTCTATTAACGAAGGAAATATAATGTATGACTATTAATAAAGATTGATTACTTGATGGGTCTAGGAATATTGTCAGGAAGATACTGGGAGGAAAGTAGCAGGATGTGTGGTTTGAAGTATGACAGATGTTGGTAAATTTTTTTATAACTATACCTCGTAAATTGTTTAATAAAACAATTGTCTAACCTTCATTTCAGCTTGGAAGATTATTTGAACCCCCCCCATTTGAACCAACCAATAAATTCAATGTAGATTTTTATCATTATGCAGAGGATTAAAATTGTAATAGTGAGAGTGTTTCGCCAGAGGGTAAAGTTTATCTTTTTAGATTTCGAGGTGTTAATTCGATGCGCCATTTTGTGAACCTCTAAGGAGTAGATGTGAATCTGTAGGTGTCGATTAGCGATCAGAATCAGGATTTGATGACAATATTGCGGTGTCAGAATCAGAAGGCATATCATCAGTGTGTGCTGATCATAGCAAGGGACCCAACACACAATCCGGTGGCACTCCTGCATCGGCTTTCTGCTCTGGAGAAGAAAATGATTAAACCCAAACTGTAAAGTGCCAATCAGCCACATTTTAGAAAATGTAAAGGAGAGAAGGATGCTTCTAGCATCCAGAGTATATCCTATGCCAGACTTGATTACCAGTTGAAAATGCTATTCCACATCGAGAAAGGTTTCTGAGCAGCACTTCTTTTCGAGAGAAGAATAGCATCCACGACTGCACTCCAATGAATACTAAAAACAAAAGTGTTTACTATCATCTGATCACATTCATTAAATTTCATATTATGTTTGAATATATGAATGTTTTCTCCCATTATACACACATTGGGCAGGAGTGCATCAGGTGCTAAAAGTAACTAGGCAATCTGGCACTTCATATGAGGGACGAGAATGTCTCGAGACAACAGTCTTGGCTGTTTTGGAATAGGAGAGTCAAGGGAAGGCTTGGGCAATGGGGTTAGCACGACTTTAGAAGCAAGATCTGATCAGTTGTTGACAAAAGGAATGTTGAGGTGTTGTATTATGGATTAATGAATCAAAGTGGTCGCAGTAATGTTTTGTATAGTTTAGTTCTGCCAGAATCAAAACTGATTTGGGTCCTAAAGTTTTAATAGTTGTCAAAGCCTTCTGTTAAGCTGTTGTCTATTAAAACTTGTGTGGAAATTCACTAATTCAGTGGAAGTTTAGTAGTTCCTTGCTGTTGATGTACCTTAAGGAAAAAGAAAGTTTTAAAATATAAATATACAACTGGTATATTTTTCCTCAATCAGTTTTGTCCTCCATGTGTAACATATAAGTAACAATATGTTTTTAGGCTGAATACGCCATTTTCATTCGTGTTACCCAGTGGGCATGGGTTTCCGTTTTACTTTTAGTTTAGGTTAGAAATGGCTATTTATGTTATGGTTGGGTTAGGTAGGGATTGGTTTTATATCCATGATTCAATACGTTTCGTACGCGAATGCGATGTTGTTTGGTGATACTAAGGTCGAAAATTCGCCGGGCGATCTTGCCAACAGGCGATAGGCCTTATCTTTCAGTAACTACCCTGATTACCGAGTTCGGAGAATGCCATACTTTGTATTATATTCTTGGGGAAAGGTTAGGTTAGATTGGGCGTTAGCCCAGGGTTAAATTACAATCCATGATACAATGTTTTCCATAAAATAGAAAAAATGTGCGAACACGATGCCCAAGTGTTGCACTAGTAATAATAATAACGTCAAGTTGTTCTTGAATATTGGAAGTTGCTTGATTGGGGTTCGGGTTAGAATACAAAATTGTGGTAGAATGATTCTTCTGTGATGAATAGCTAAGTCAAAAGTACAAATGATAAACACGATGTCACTCAGACTGCTCCCTTGTCGGACTCCTGCTTGCCTTGTTCAAATAACTCGTTCTCGCAGCTTCTGAAGCATTGGTCAGTTAAATAGAATTCGAGGATAAGGAGAGGGCAAGAAACGTTTAACTGTGCCAGACCCAGTACTTTTCATTTTCCAGAACTGGCTAAAAATCATTTGATCATCAGATAAATATGATCCGTAATATTTTAAGTTTTATATATACGCCTTTGAATTTTTTTAAATAAATTAAACTAACAAGTCAATATATACCTAAAGTTTTACCAATAAACGTTAAAAATTAAACAGTACGTTTGGTAAAAAAAAATCCAATGATTAGAGGGCGCACTACACCCACTCGTGAAATTAATATTCTCAGCAGGTGTAGGTAGCATCGAGGAGCGATACTGAAGAATGAAAAAAACGGCCTGTTGATTTGTCCAGGTAAAGGAAAGGGTTCTCCGGGACAATATTAGTAGGACTCCCTATTAGTTGTATCCCATGGGATCACCGAGGTCAAAGGATGTAATGGAGCACGTACAGGTAATTGATGGAAGAACAATCTTTTAGGCTGGTCACGTATATAACACCCCTCTCTTCAACAAGGACGAACTATGTATACGATACGCCACCACGGAGTGTATAAATAGTATATAATTATTACTTTGAAATGAATAATCACCGGAAAATGGGAGGGATGATTTTGCGAGGTTTCTTTATGAAAAATGAACACTTGCCTTTTAAAGAAATGGACAATTTATTAAGTCCGAAATGCGTACAAAATACAGAAAAAACTTCACTGAAAATTGCATTTGAAAATATTGACCATTGGTACGACATGTACCTTTAAAATAACGTAAAGTTTTAAACTTTTTGAAATGCACTATGCCAGTTTTTACGTTAAAAAACTTATCAGAAATGATGTTCAATGTTTGTAAAAAGATAGTTCCTACTCACATTTAGTGTTTTTTTTCGATCTCGATTTCAAGCTTATAGCTCATCATCAGGTTGAAATTTCAACCACATCTCTGGACGTGAATTGTAAAAGTGAACTCACCAATCCCCCACCAACGCGATCCAGCCACCCCACCAAAACTGAATCGTTAGGTCTCCGTTGTTTGCCAAAAATTGGTGAACTATCAGAGAAAGTAGGTAAAATTCTTAAACAAGAAGGTTTAGAGTATTTCAATTAATTAAGGTTTTTAGTTGAGATAAAAAAGTCAGTGTCACATTTCAAATGATGTGTGATCTATTTGATTCTCGGCGACAAATGAAATAGCCACGGAGAATAATTAATTGAAAGATATTAGTTGGTCAAGCGGACCACGAAAACTAGTGAATTTAATAAGTTAAAATGAAGTATACTTCACTAAAGTTCTCCGCGGCCATTTCATTTGTTGCCGAGAATCAAATAGATTACACGACTTTTGAAAAATGGCAAAAAGAAGGAAAAATTCAAAAGGTGGGGTTGAGATGGGAAGTTAATGTCAGAGTGGATCGAGGTCACGATAGCTCAAGTGGTAGAGCAACGGCGTATCTAGCCGAAGATCGTGGGTTCTAATCCCGCTCGTGACACTGACTTTTTTTATCTTAACTAAAATCCTTAATTAATTGAAAAATATTAATTGGTCAAGCAGACCACGAAAACTAGTAGAGTTTAGAGTAGCTTTTGGAGGTACCTGTTTACTTAGAAGCATCCTCTTAAAACCTAGGTTGACAACTTGGCAAAAAGCGTTGTTACCAACTTAAT